TTGGTGCGCACTTAAAAGAACCCTTAACAAATTGCTCATATGTTGTTTTCTAATAGCTAGGACCAATTTAACTATCTTTCCTATATGTTTGTTATTTTTACACCTATTTCCCCATTAAGATACAGACTACACTGTGCTGTGTTATACGGTGTTGATATCTGAGTTTCTGTTTCAGATTGATCAGTATTAATCAATTGTCTAATATATAGGCCTACACTAACAATCACTGTGATAACTAGTAGATAACTATAATATACTCTCTATATACTCACCGTTCTAATTAGCTTAAACAGTTTAATTCCTAATTAAAACAAAAACAATCTGCGATCGAACGTATTGCTTCCGCCTTTACGTGTTAGGGAAAGCCCTCTGTATCACATGACACTATATACGTCAGCGAAGAGCAAAATTAATTCATTCGGTATACAAGGTACTTTACTACTTATAGATAGGTGTCATTGAGTATTTGTTACTTATTATGTTAAACTTTATTTAATCGAATTTTGAATACCAATGAAAACATTTTGTTAACAAATAGATCGTCAGTAGGTATGTTATTTGTATTTCGGATTATTCATGTTTTCAATTTTCCGAGAGCGTAGTTCTCAGTAAATGGCACTGAATTTACCTGCGGTGTACCGAGTGTTGGGCAATATTAGGAAAGCCCGTTTTAATTACAATAAACATGACACACTTATTATTGAATTGGTTCCGTTTATTGTAGTTGTCTCCCTTCAACCGCAATGACTTGCGGTATTTAACAAATCGCCACCGGTAATATACTGCCTAGTATAACATGCAAAATCAATAGTCACCAGTTACCCCTTCAACATTTATCCGTTTGGCTTTCATGTATTTGAGAGCATGGATTCGTGCTTCAAAGTGGCGATGTAACAGTAATGAGAGAGAGAGAGAGGGAGAGAGAGAGAGAGAGAATGAGATTTAACTTCCACTCTGTTAAAACTAGACCATTTTGAAACTAACGTATGACTCAATAATTATATATCAATAGTTTGCTTGCACGTAGGGGACATTAGGAGTAGGGCGGGGGGGGGGGGGGGCAGAATACCCACGAAGTTTGACAGGGGACTCCACACCTGTAATTAGAAGTAGGGAGTCGAAACCACGCCACTTTACTCTATGATAGACCTTATGATCTAAAGCGCATGTGTTTGACTATTCGGCCTCTCATCCCGTGAAATGGGTTGTAACATCCTACTACCCTGCTCAATCCGTCCGACCTTGTACAACATTGAATATGGGATGACCTCTGTGCGGATTGATTAGATCACAATATTAACATCTGCAAGTTACATTTTAGAAACTTTTTTGAAGTATTAAAGAAATAAATAAGGTGTTTGAAGTATATCTGGATAAAAATATTTCCTATTTAGTGTAAATGGATATATAAAATGAGTAAAAGGCATCGTTCTGCCCGGACCAGTTTACGTTATCACGTCTTATCATACAACTAAATATTATTTATCATAAGAGATTACTAGGATGGTCAGTAGTATATTATTTACCTTAGGAGATTATTAGGATGGTCAGTAGTATGTTATTTTAGGAGATTTATGGAGCAGTCAGTGTTATATTCAAATAAATTAATGCTGTTTAGACGGATATTTACCTCCCTTTAACCCCCGTTAAAGTCTACGGTCGTCATTTGCTTATTCATTTGACAATATATAAAAACCACTGAATTTGTAAAAAAAATATTAAAACATTTAGCAGAAATTAGAATAATATTGTCTCGAACAAACTAAGTTGCCTGTTGAAGATGAAAATCATTTTATTGTATTTTGTCCTATGTATTTAATTTAAAGTCACAACTCATGCCATGAATCTGAGATATATTATTCCAATGGTATTTCGTAATTGAACTGGAATACAAAGGTCACAATTCTATGGAATATAATTAATGTTTATTACTGAGCGACGTTTCGACCTGATTCCTCTAGTCTTTATAAGCAGTACACCGTAATTGTATTCCATAGAATTATCTCAGATATAAGTCTTGTAAATAATGTAGCAGATTGTATACTGGGATATGTCTTAATATGGTCATATTAAAACACGGGGGGGGGGGACATCAAACATTGGTGAAAACTGAAGATATTAATTGGGTTTCCGCGAATTTCAGCAAGGTGATAAAGTTTCCAACAAGGCACAAAAACAAAAGAACAATTTTCCGCTTAGATTTAAACAAGAGTGTATTTTAACTCGAAAGGGCCTTTAGCGACATTTTGATGTGACAATGTGATATGAATATATGTTTTATTGCCTTTGTTTACGAACATCATGTATTATAGGAAAACTATATTTCTTTATAAATTTATGATGCACCATAATACCAATTATTAATCATGTTTTTTTTTACATAACTTAATCCGTAATAGACCAATAATCAGTTTCGTTATTTTAATTCAACATAAGCAAGGGTTGAAAAGTGTTCATAGATAGTGACTAGTCGATTAATACAACACATTGCAAACTCGACTTATTGGTCAATGTAAATCAACATTGATGTTATCTTACCGTGAATATCGATGGTGTTCGTCCTCTCATCACGACAATCAGAATGGTTAAAACAATTCTGTAAGTTGTTATTTGTTCTTGCAATGTCTGTGTAGTTTTATCATGTCCGCCAGTTTGTTTTGTCGGTTTGGTTTTGTTATGTATTTCGCCTGCACTTATTATTAGAGAGCAAAATGTAGTATATTATAATAAAATGTTCCAGTCCCTGTATATCGGTATAGAACCTAACTAACTATTCAGATATCATTATTATATACACAGATTATATTGTTATTTCTTTTACAGATAATATTATTATAATGACGCGTTTTAGAATAGTAGGTTGTTTAGTCTGCGGAGTTTTTTCACTTTTGCTGATAATCAAATGGCGGTAGGTTCATTCTTCAGTAATAATAACACAATAACCAGTTTAATCTACACATATCAGGACTTCCGAAACAAATATGGTGTATGAAGTGTTCTGGAAAGTGTAAGCATGCCATGCATTCAGTGCAATACTCACTACAAGTTTAATTTTTGCACGAAAATGACATGATACGTGATGTGCATTTTATGACCAATAGAAAATTAATTTAATTTGAAATTATCATGCACGTTCACGTGCCACAAACTTGGTAATTTCGAGACTAACCCATAATCCTTGTCGCTTAAAAGCTGGAGATTGAAACGAGGTCATTTGAGCCAGTAAAAGCACACGTTAGACCATTGCCCCCCCCCCCAAATTTTTATTTTTTATTTATTTATCTATCTCATTTTATTTATTAACTAACTAAAGACATGCCAGTATCTGGTCTAACCAGGTATTGTAGACACTAATCGTTAAATATGCATTACTGTATGTAGGGGCTAAATGTGCCCATTGAAGGTCTTTATTTTGACATCAGATACATTAGACATTTATTCACATTAGACATTTATGTCGACCCTAGAATCACCTCTTTTGATGGTACTGATCAAAACGGATTGAAACACGACCGTCATTTAATTACTTAAAGGAGCTAAATCGCTAACATTTGGGACCTAGAAATTCACAAAAGTGGGTCGCAACGCATATAATACTGTAATATGAATGTATATAAACTGATTTACATTTAATGGTTTCCGTTTTTACTCCAATTTCAAATCAGTTATGTTCGGCGAAATAAGTCAGCAATCTCAATCGAGTGCAAATTTCTAGCGTCTAGTTATTCTAGTCTACACAACTCCATTTGATTTGGTCATAGAACTAGAATACTAATTCTAGTTCTATGATTTGGTGCAATGTGTCTAGCCTCGTCCCTCGAGTCTCTCAATACAACTGGGGCTGAAGCGCATTATGGTACACGATTCGTGTACCAATGTTAAAAAAAATATTTTATCTTAAATATCGGATATCAAAGACTCATCTTTTCCCGGTAAGTTTACATCATCAATGTTGATTTAAATTGACCAATAATTCGTGTTTTCGATGTCGAAGATTTTGGAGGATTTTGAGTTACGGACTTAGGTCCTTTAATCTAAAATTGGCGAATCGAAGCTAAAAAAATTTTGGAGTACAAGTTTTGGCGTCACAATGTAACGAAACGTATAGTATAATTACATTTATTTTATGATCAGTAGTGGAATACCGCGTTTTATCAGTGAAATAAAAGTGTTATTCCACTGGCTAAAGTAGTCCATGTTGTTTTTACCTAAAATGATTGTAAAATCATAAAATAAATAGAACATTTGTCGTTTTGTCGTGAATAACATATTTTATTTCATCTCAAAGCAAGAAAACGTTTATATTTTCACTCATGCTACGCATTCGTGAAAATATAAGTTTTCTTGCTTCTCGATGAAATAAAATATGTTATTCACTCTAAAACGACAAATATCCTCTATGTATGCGTTTAGAACATGCAATAGTGTTTGGGGCCTAGCGCTCTTCAGGAACCCTTATTATTATTAAAATGGCATTATTATTATTATAATTGTTATCAATATTTGCTGGAATTCATTTTGCCTTTCTGTGATCGACACACCAGTTATATTACATGTGTTGTATTAAGCAAATTGAAAAAAAAAGATAGGCCCTATTGTCTTTTTTTTTTACCTCCAATCGGGGCAAAATTTATTTTATACACAAAATAAACCGCAAACGCGGAAATTCCGGTTTCCGATTTCAAAAAGCCCGGTTGGTAAAGAAATGTGAGACGTTAAATCCATTTCATTTCATTTCCATTGGTTGGTGCAGAAAATGGGACGTTAACCCCCATTTTATGTCCATTTATAAAACGTTTGGGTTGTGTAAAAAATGACCTAATGACCTCCAATTAGAATATCAATGTACTAACACAAATAAATTGAATCTTACTACTTTAGTAACTTCTAAAATGCTAAACAAATTGACATTGTATGATGATTGAATTTGTCCTGGGTTACTCAGGTAGCTTGATCTAGATCTGCAGGGAAGATACAACCAGACTATTAATAATACAAAATGGCCGCTAGCCTCGCCCAGTTTTGATGAGATAATAAAACAATTGATTGATTTTTTGACATAATTATCAAGAAATTCGTCAAAATATCCCCAAATAATGGTAAGTTAAGAATCTTGCGCTGTCATTTGTTGGTCATTTTGCAACCTTGGGTTATCACTTGGGCTCTATTTCATGAATGCAACACCACCACCCGCGGAACTGCACGAGCTGTGCTATTCAATTCAGGCCTATTGTTCATCTACTATGATCTACCACAGTTTAACTCATTGATTTTCATCTGTTTAATTATTTATCATACTATTCGATGTTTTTTTTTGCAATAATAGAATAAGAGTAACACTCGTCTTTACTTTTGAAATCGGTAAATGCACGTAGTTTTATCTCGCCAGTAGCCTATTTAAATCTGCTGTGACTGTGGGTTATATATTTTCTGTTACTGTTAGTGCTAGGTTTATTTCTTTCTTTTAATTTTGGAGGGAATTGTAACTTCACACGCAAATTATCGTTTTTGGCGGAGCAAATTTGGTGATGTTTCACTATTACGGTACATACATACAATCCTTGATGGTGGAGGCAAGAATCAAAGAGTTTGAGTTATTTTAATAACTATGTCATATCCGACTTGGGTCGACATACATGTAACCTATGCCCCTTGGCTTTATTTGATGTAAAAATTCACATGGTCATTGGTCAGACAATATTTTATGTATAGCCAGTGGTTACTATACACATTGCGGCAGGTTCACACCAATTCTATTAAAATTAGTTGTGCCATCTTCACTCAAAATTGCAATATATAGACCTCCCGTAAAAACGACTTTGTCAATTATCAAAAACATTGGTAAAGGAATGAATGTTTGTTTGTATTACATATATTTGTTGATTAACTGCTAACTATTATTGTTTTAAACATTAAATGGAAATTAGGTAAGATTAGATAAAGAGCTCATAGTTTTTGCTATAGGCTATAGTTCAAATATAGATAATGAAAAGAGGGTATGCTGACAATTTCAGTCTAATTACTTCATTCTTAACCTATTTATTATTGATTCAATTTTAGGCTAGCCTTGATCGTCATTACTACCCTTTTTGCGATAATAAAATAAGTCTCAATTACCGGTACCGGTATCTATTTTTATGGTCATTTCATTCACAACAAAATGTATTCATATCCACTAAATATCGCAGGCTAATGATGTCATCGAGAGTTGATTATGGTTTTGAAAAGTTGATTTAATGTCTAACTAAAAAATTAGATAACATTTAAGGCCCCGCAAAAAAACCCTGCAATAGACAGATTTAGCTCTTGTATAATGCATGTTTAACTGATATGATGTCCATAATGCTGGGTAACGATTGAATTGCAGGAATGGAACCCTTGCATTTGTTTTCTGTTTGAGTATTCCGAATCATTCAATAAACTTTTACTGTAGACCATAACAAATGTTTATAGCAAATCACCATTGTGATCTTCTTAAGTTGACAAATAAGGATTTGAATAATTTACAAAACCAACCCACTCTTTCCGTAATACTTTGTATGATAAATGTATGAAAAAAGCGTTAAAGAGTATAAAGTTTTTACTCTTACTCCGTATTATCCAGAATCTTCTACATAACAAACACCACTCGGCAAACATCAGCAGAAGTCTGCCATTGGAACTACTTCAAGTTCCCTGATTACCAATAGTGTCACTCATGAAAATGCCTTTGAAGAATGTTTTGTCATACAAAGCTTTCAAAGACTGAAGCTTATCTGATTTTCTTTAAACAAGGAAAACTCTCCAATGAAACACACTAAAGATCTCTATGCACAAGCAGACTACTGAAATAAAATTGTACCATATGTTACCCCCAAAATGACCTAGTTTTTCTTGACTGGACAGCGCGATTGGTTGGCTGAATGGTTAGCAACTGCACACTGTATCATAAGGTCTGTCATTGAGTCAACTGTTGTCGTTATGACTCCCCTTTTGTATGTGACAAGGAGTAGTGTCGCCTGTCCAACCTCATGGGTTTTCTCTGGGTTCTCCAGTTTCCTCCCACTGCTAAAGACCCCTATCTGCAAGTTAATTATTGAAATAAAATTGAACCATATGTTAGTCCCAAAATGACCTAGTTTGTGTTGAGTGGACGTTAAACCCCATTTCTCTCTATCTTTCTCTTGACTGGACATTAAACTCAATTTCTCGTCATCCTTCAAAAACAATAATTCAAATGATAAAAAATTTTATATTGTAGGAAAGTATGAAAAGGAAGAATAATATCATTAACATGCCAGTTCTTCATCGGTGTACAGAATGTGATGAGATTTTTCCACAGTATGATCTATTAGAGAGACATCGTAAAATACATAGTGGTAATAGAATGATTAACATGCCACTTCTTCATCGGTGTACAGAATGTGATGAGATTTTTCCACAGTATGATCTATTAGAGAAACATCGTAAAATACATGGTGGTAATAAGATGATTAATATGCCACTTCTTCATCGGTGTACAGAATGTGATGAGATTTTTCCACAGTATGATCTGTTAGAGAGACATCGTAAAATACATGGTGGTAATAAGATGATTAATATGCCCCTCCTTCATCGGTGTACCGTATGTGATGAGATTTTTCCACAGTACGATCTATTAGAGAGACATCGTAAAATACATAGTGTTAATAAGGTCACCAATAAGCTGATAAAAGAAGAGGGAAAGGATGATTATGACGTGGATAAAAATTGTCAGATATATTTTGAAGACAACAAAACTCGTGAGGAAGACAAGACGGATGGTTTGAGTCATTCGAAGTTCCCTAATCAGACATATAAATCAGATTTTGCCAAAAAATGTCAAGAACGTGGTATTGAAGACAGAATAGCACAGAATCCAAACGAAACATTTGACTGTAATGTTTGTGATCAAGAATTCAGGTCTTCAATGGACCTGGAGGCACATTTTAAAGAGCATGCTTCCCAACAAAGATCAGAAGATTTGTTGGATGCAGAGTCGGAGAAACGCAAAAAAGAAATTGCATCATTGGATGAATATTGTAAAATGCATTTTAAAATGGGGGGAAAATTACAGAAGTATCGAAAATGTTTGGATGTGGAGAGTGTCCCAGAAATTAAAGCAGGAACGTCGGAGAGTACGGCAAGTACTTCACAACATAAACCACAAAGCCCAAAAAGTTTTAACATTAAAGATTATCCAAGTCAGATCCCGATCCATCTTTTGGATATAAATGGGTTATCATTGGAAAATTACACAGGGAAGGAGACCCAGTATACTTGCGATGTCTGTGACCAAGTATTTCAATATAAAAAGGATTTCAGAAAGCATTTAAAAATTCACAATATTGGAAAACCTTTTAAATGTGAGGTTTGTAATAAATCATTCAGTGCTAAGTGTGAGGTGATGCGACATTTCAAATATCATATAGGAGAGAAAGCATATAAATGTGATGTTTGTGAGAAAGCATTTGATACAGGGTTTAAGTTAAAATTACACACTAGAACCCATACTGGAGAAAAACCATATAAATGTGGGGTATGTAGCAAATCATTTATTTCAAATGGCGAGCTTAACAGACATTTCCGAACACATACTGGCGAGAAACCATACAAGTGTGACATTTGCAGTAAGTGTTTCATCGATAACAGTGGTTTGACGAAACACATAAAGAAGCACATGGAAGGAGAAAATAAAAGTGAAAGTAGCAAGGTAATCCGCGAGAAAAGATTTTTCTGTGAAATTTGCGATCGATCGTTTGTGTTTAAGAGCCAGTTGATTAATCATGTTCGAAGTCACACTGGAGAGAAACCTTTTAAATGCGAGGTTTGCAGTAAATTTTTTCCTGTCAGTTGCTCTTTAAGTAAACACATGAAAACCCATACTGGTGAAAAACCGTTTAAATGTGAGCTCTGCCCGAAGTCATTTAGATATAGCACAGATCTGAACCGCCACATGAGAATTCACACTGGTTTAAAGCCGTTCATTTGCGAAATCTGTAACAAAACATTCATGGACAAGAGTGCTCTTAACAAACATTTCCGGTCTCACACCAGAGAGAAATCGTACAAATGTGATGTTTGTAGTAAATCCTTTTATAATTTGAATGTTTTAAATCGGCATTTACGAACCCACGTCAAAAAACTATACAAATGCGAAATTTGCAGCGATTTATTTTTGACGAATAACGACCTGTCAAAACACATCAGATTTCATACCGGAAACAACCCGTTTCTGTGTGAAATTTGTCATAAGGCCTTTGCGGTCAAAAGTGCGCTAAAGAAGCACATTATAACTCACACTGAAGACAAAAATTATGCGTGTAACATCTGTAATAAGTCGTTTTTTAATATCTCAGATTTAACACGGCACACAAGAATTCACACTGGGGAGAAACCATTTAAATGTGATGTTTGTAGCAAAGCATTTAATGACAGTAGCTCCTTTAAGAAACATGTCCGAATTCATACTAAAGAAGATAATTCTGCATCTTAAAAGTTTATAGGACATGAAATGTATACGTACATGTCTATCCAAAGATTTGTTTGGTTCCTTCTCGTCCCTATGGTATCATGGAGGTCACCGTTGACCTTCGCTGTTTCAGGAATTTTTCCGCCCTCTGCTTATACTTTTAGTTAGGGGTTAATTTGTTGCAGTCTTGGAATTAGTATACAAAGATGTTAACTACACGTACATTAGCTACTTTTTGACATTTTAATAATAATCTGCACTCCAATCAGTTACTGTGTTACTGTACTTATTTGTAGTAAAAGGGGGTTGGGTGGCCGAATGGTTAGCACATGCAGGCTACATCATAAGGTCTGTCATTGAGTCAACTGGCTTGGTTTCGATTCCCTGGTTGTACGTGACAAGGAGTAGGGTCGCCTGTCCAACCTCGTGGGTTTTCTCCGGCTCCTCCGGTTTTCTCCCACTGCTAAAGACCCCTACGTGTAAGTGACTTATGGAAATAGAATTGAACCATATGTTAGTCCCAAAATGACTTAGTTTGTGTCAAGTGGACATTAAACCCCATTTCTATCTGTAGTAATCGAAATTGTATTATCGCAAGGTACAAATAGTTCGATACAAATTCACTACTTATGTATCCATAAAATTGTACAAATATAAGCCAATAAATAAGAAAATTGTGTCCATGTCATTGATAATCTCAGACAATTGATATACAGGTACATGACATGTAGCAACAGATTGAAGTGCAGAGTTGTCAAACTTAACACCCCATAAAACAATAAAGATTAAATAATCAAGGTTGAATAATTAGATGACAGATGTAGACTAATCATGTCATTGATAACATAACCCTTTTTACTTGGTACATGTACCTGTAAATATATTCTACACTTTGTATCTCTCGACAGCCCCAATCCATTAGAAACTACTGCTCCTTAATCTCAACCTGTCCGAATCATGTGAATATCTCTCTGTATTGTAGGACCATATACATGTATATAGTTACAGCAGTTTTAGACATCTAAGGAACATTAGTTTCTAAAGGCCAAGGGGTTAACAATGATTTCATAACTGGTAAATGGTATTTTTAATGCTAAAATGACTTGAAGACACATGTGAATGATTTTTATGATTACATTGTACATATCTTATATAATGACATTGTTTTGTAAAATTTTGTTTTGTTTTGTTTAATTTTGTTCTGTTTAGTTTCTTCTTTGTTGTTGCTGTTTTCCCTGTGTTAACCGTGAGATATAGGGTTAATTATATTGTTAAGCATAGCTAGAGGGGAGGGGTGGGGTATTTGAGCCACATTGTGAATTGTGCCAGTTTCTTTGGTTGCCCATTTTATGTCCTCTCCCTTATATGGGCTGTCACTAGGAAATTTTTTGTATTGTGGTATGTGTAAGTACATGTACATGTACATTGTACATGTATATCACCACAATTTCTTTGATTTATAATTATTTTCTTGTGTTGCGAAAATGTAATTTGTTTGTGTGTTATTGTACATAAAATATAAATGGTTTAATTTGTTTTTGTAAAATAATATTTAGTGTAAAAAAACTTCATGGAAATTGACTTAACAACTAGACGTTGACTGGCAAAAAATGGTACCAACAATTTAATTAAAATTTTGATTATAATTTATTTTTTCTTTCTTTCTATATGGTTGACTAGGTAACATTGAACAATAACAATTTTTAACAATAACAATAGGCGTTTTTGTGAACCGATTAGATTAGACCGATTAGCTATTATACGCATTTGTGAACCAAGTTGATTATGCCAATCGTTACATTTGTGAGACGATTTAACTCAACTGATTAGGCAAATCGACCTAATCGTCCCAGGAGGTGTTTAGGCGATTAGATTTGACTTTTTCAAAATGGCGGAATGTTCGACGTCGTAAGTAATTTTTAATGCTTATTGTTGTTTTTCTCCATAAAAAATGTTTTTTTTAAAACGCATTTGACGTGTTTAATGTTAACTTTATAGTCCACAAGAATGTTAGATCACCTCTAAGCAATTTTATTCATTTACAGTTATTTCAATATATTCCTCGATCCTAGGTTTTCTCAGTAAACTTTTTACATGTTTTGTCACTTCAGTTTTCAAAAAAATACTTGAACTTGTTGGACATAGGAGATTGTTTCTAACGGCAACCATTTTTCCTTTTTTGCGTAGATAACCTTCATTTGTCTTTAACAAGTCATCAATAATTAGCAATTTTTTTTTCTGATCGGTGTCCGTGATGGCAGCCATCTTACCAAATCGTAATTATCAAATTTCACATTTGTGGACCATACCTAATCAAATCGAAATCATACCAAATCGTACTAGCAAATCAAAACCTAATCTAATCGACTCACAAAAACGCCAAATGTTTTATTTAATTTTGAGAATGTATTATGTAAGATTTTGATAAAGAGCAGTCTGTTGTTGCTTTAATAGTTTAAAAATAGATAACGAAAATGTATACCGGGTATAATAAAAATTTCAGTCTAAATACTGAATGTTTGAAGTTATGACAAGGAATAGCCGAAATAGTCTTGATTATCAAGTACTATTTCTAAGATAATAAATGAAGTCAGCCTCTCTGAGTGACATCCATATTAATATTTATGGTGAACATTGTTTAATCCATACAATATCTTGGCTATCCAATGGTCTAAAGAGTTGATTGTGGGCTTGTCATGTGATTAAATGTCTAAATACTATTTATTATCACATTTGAAGTCAGAAAAAGGCTTGCAATAGGCAGATTTATCTCTTACATAATGCATCTTTAAAGAAAGATTTGAGTTTCATTTTCCACTGCCACATGACCACACATGACCACAAATATCACTACTGATAATTTGATTGATCAGTTAGTTCACATAATCTGAAGCATGTAGGTCAGATGTCAAATCAAACACCTCCACATTGTTATGGATATATATACATAACCTCTGAACTTGCCACACATAATTAAGGATTTGACCTTTCAGCTCAACGCTTCTTATCCATATAGCACTTGATACATGTGAATATTGACTACCCCCAATTCCCTATAGAAAAATACAGGAAAATGATAGATTTCATACCGGTATATCCCTTACAAATTCTTTTTTCTTTGAGTACCTTAAAACATTTACTTCAAATCTGCCATCTCCGAATTTCGAAAATTACGTCATTAACTTTCATATTAGTACGATTTTCATGAAATTTGGAATATAAGTAGATCTCATTCATTCAACTTCAACAATATCATTAGAAAATAGTCTGTTCCTTAGCTCGTCTGAGGTATGTGGCAGCTCTCCATATTATAGGACCGTATACATACATGTTCTTGTGTATGCCACAGCTGTTCTTGTGAGGCAGTCTAAGTAATCTAATACAAAAGGCAGTTTCAGGTGGTCCAAATGCCTCACGGTAAATGACATATGCGCTCATTGGCCACATGTAGGTTGGGATGGTTATGAGTGACAACTTATCATCAGCAGCTGGTTCAGCAACAAATATTCATATACATACCCCATCTCATTCCAGCCAATATACTGTTATTAGATCCTGTTGAATTTGTTTGTTGCATTTTGTCATGCTCTAATGTTCGAATATGTACATGTAAATTCAAATATTTTTTTCTGTATTATTATTCAGTGTCAAGCCAATTGCAGTTTTATCAGTTTTTTTGTCTCCTAGGGGAATTATTAATTAATTAAATCAACCAATTCTTAAAAATAAATAAACAGATAAAGAATTATATTGAAATTTGACAATGCACCAAAAGTTGATCTTTCAAATAGAATCAAATACAACGTATTTCAAAAGCATATTTGAATAATGGATTAAAATATGTGAATAGTAAAATGACACAGTTTTTCTTCAATTTTTCTCTGTTGTTAGCTGAAATGTTTGTTAGGCTTCTCTAATATACCTGGTCATCACAAGGAAAATAATTGGGTGGTGTTAAATGAGATTTCTTGTGAAACACATATATTAATGACATTGCTATTAAAGATTACAATTGTTATTATCATTTACAATTATTGATATAGTGATTACAATGATTGTTATCAATTACAATAATTGCTAATAATTATTGTTATTTTTTAATGATTGTTATTAGTGACACAATAATGGTTATTGGTCATCATTTTTATTGATTACCGTACATTTATTAACAATTAAGATTACAATTATTATTTTTACTTAATACAATGATTATTATTAGTCATTGCAATTATTATTATTTTTAGTGATTATTAGTATCTTTACCTAAATAAATTACATGTATTCCAACTAAGCATTTTTTAGTTATTCTTTAAAATGATATAAATAAAGATTTTAATCTCTGAATGTCATTTGGATGTGCACATAAAAGATCCCTTGACAGTTGGAATTCAATACCTGTCTGGGTAAGGGGAGTTGGATGGCCAAATGGTTAGCGTGTGTGCTTTGTATCATAAGGTTTGTCATTGAGTCAACAGGCGTGGTTTCAATTCCCCTGTTGTACATGACAAGGAGGAGTAGGGTCGCCTGTCCAACCTCGTGAGTTTTCTCTGGGTCCTTCGGTTTCCTCCCACTGCTAAAGCCCCCTATGTGCAAGGGAATTATTGAAATGAAATTGAACCATATGTTAGTCCCGAAATGACCTAGTTTGATTTGAGTGGACGTTAAACCCCATATCTCTCTCTCTCCCAGTCAAGGTAAAATTTTCCTGATAGCACACTGTATAGCCTATTTCTTTCCCAATAGCACACTGTATGGCCTATGTCTGTCCTGATAGCACACTGTATGGCCTATTTCTGTTCCGATAGCACACTGTATGGCCTATGTCTGTCCTGATAGCACACGGTATGGCCTATGACTGTCTATGTTAGCCTGGGTTGGTACTGAAAAATAGGACTTGTCTTACGAACATAGGAGCGATGGTGGCTCAGTAAATAAGATGTCACTCACCAGCCTGGAGATCACAAGTTTGATTCCAGTGTGGGCTGAGCAATTTCATCAGGTTTTTCTGGCATGGTTTTCATTTGTCGGTGGTGCTGGATGGAGGACCTGACATGGACAGCTGTCCAGTCATTCATATGGGACGAAAACGTAAAAGATCTCTTGGCAGTTGGTATTTGATATAAGAGTAGGCTGTAGTGCCGCTGTCCGGGCAAAATTTCACTCATAGTACACTGTATGGCGTATACCCGTCTTTGTAACCGATTCATAAATCGGGTCAGTTTGTACGTTGGAACAGCCTTAAGTTAATATGATGGAAGAGCTTTTAGTTTAAGGGATAGGTTATTGTTATTGTCTAATAATATGAACTCTGTGAACTGTTGTAATGTTTTTTTGATGTATGTTTTTTATGTATATTAATTTATTACGTTATAAACTTCCAGGCTGCGCTACGCTTCGTAAAATAGTAACCTAAAGCATTGATGTTAAATTGTTTAATATCCCTGCGTAATTAATGCTCCCTGTGTCAGTCTTGCAAATGGCTTTCCTAGAAACCATGTTTTTTCGTTTTTGCGTGTGGTCAAGTTAACAGGCTCTTGGAGGTAAATAATTCTGTAATATTGCATTTGTATGTCATATTTCGTTTAATGTAGTATTCATTTATTTGTCCTGCTATGTTTTGCGTTGTGTTAAACTGTATTAATTTGTATTTTTCAGTTTTCACGTCTGTGTTACCGGCATGTCTTTTAATTCAAGTCTGGAAGTTCAGTCTAAGTTGTTTGCGTTCATCATGATTGTATGATATTCTACGTTAGGCTATTTCCAATGTTTATACGATGATATCCTCGTCCGATGTCATGAAGCATTAAAGAGACAATGAATAAAGATATGTATATGGTGTATTACAGTTAGTCGAGTCTCCTTTTCAATCTATGGTGTTATACTCCTGTTATCATGATCACAGGCTGGGTGCGTCCGTCTAGGTCTCCAGCTGCCTCTATAGTGAAAACTACTCTGTAGGGAGTTCAAACACCTGTCGAATGGAATGAAAGGAACTTTATGCGGTAAATATGTAAGTGAACTTTGAAGTTTTCTGACATTAGTGCGTCCTTAGTATTATTTGAACTGTTATAAAAATTGCGGCAGTATTGATGAAGAGGACATTATATTTTTTCGTTTGCGCATTGTTTACAATGGCTACGTCTGCGAGTGATCCAGTTGATCCTACTGATCAGAGTGCATACGGTTCTGTTAAATCAAGATCAGCGAAAAACTCTGAACGTTCATCAAAAAGATCGTCTGTTATTTCATTGAAGTTAATTCAAGCAGCCGAGGAAGCAGCTGTTATTGAACAGAAATTAAAGTATCATTCCATAGAAGCCGAAAAGAAATTAGAACTTGAAAATATTCAGCTACGTAAAGATTTGGATATTGCGAATGCAAAGGTGAATGCTCTTCGAAGATTTGAAAATGAAGATTTTAAAGTTGAATCCATGATACCAGTATGTGAACAAAATAAGTCAGAACTTGTCGCAACCTTTGTGAATAGTCATAATTTTTCTACAGATTATGGTGATCCGCCTCACTTGTCACCTGCAGTTAACCCTATTAACCCTGTGAGTTCGATAAGTAAACCTGTCATTCCTGCCAGTTCACCTTTGGTGTTTTTACCGCCGCCCCAAATTCCAGTTAGTGATGTATATAATAATACCCCACCTATGAACAATGCTGATCACTCTCATGCGTCACAGTCCGCTCCTGCCCAAGTGTCTTCCGCTGTACATGTACCTGCCAGTGACTTGGTTCGTATTTTGACAGATCAGGCTAACTTTAATAGATTACCCCCTCCAGAACCAGGTGTGTTTTCCGGTGACCCTTTGAAATATCCAAACTGGAAGTGTGCCTTTAAAACACTGATCGAACATAAGAACATTCCGAAAGAACAATGTATGCATTATCTGCATCGATATATCAGTTTGAAGATGCAAAGTCATTGCTTGAAAAGCGATATGGCGATCCATTTATTGTGGCTAATGCATTTAGGGACAAATTAGAGGCTTGGCCAAAAGTACCTAACCGAGATGGTCCTGCACTGCGTCATTTTGCGGATTTTCTTAAACAGTGTTACACTGCGATGCGAACAATTAATTGCCTTAATGTACTGAATGATATGCGTGAAAATAGAAAACTGTTAAATAAACTCCCTGATTGGTTGGTGATGCGTTGGGGAAGAACTGTTAGTGATTATAGAAAAAAGAGACAAGAGTTCCCTCCCTTTAGTGAATTTGTTGGCTTTGTGACTGATGAAGCAGACATTGCATGTGACCCTTTAACTTCCATTACATATGCGCCTAATAAGAAAGAACATGTTCCTTCAACAAATCAACGTAGAACTGCATTTTCAACTGAAATAAAGGAATATTCGAGTTATGTTCCAGAAAATTGTGCCTTTTGTCATAGATCAAGTCATTCCATTAATGATTGTACTTTATTCACTAAAAAATCAATGTCTGACCGTAAAGACTTTCTGAGGTCAAACAGATTATGTTTTGCTTGCTTATGTCTTGGGCATGTGTTACGTGCTTGTAAATCAAGACTCAGGTGTAGAATTTGTAATCATTTGCATCCTTCATTACTTCATGGAGATACTGGTCAACCAAGTAGGCCAATGCGTAATGAAAATACTGAAGTCAAGTCTGCTGTTTCGCATACTTTAAGAACTGGGACTGATAAGTGCGCTATGATCGTACCCGTGTGGTTGTCTCACAAAGATAATCCAAGTAAAGAAATTTTGACGTATGCTCTTTTGGATTCTCAGTCCGACACAACATTTGTTTTAGACAAAACATGTGATGCTCTTGACATAGAAGGACTTCCTGTTAAATTGTCTTTGTCTACTATGTTTGCTAAAGACACTCTTATCGACAGTCGTAAACTTAATGGTCTTGTTGTGCGTGGCTATAATTTTGACGTTAGAATTCCGCTGCCTGATACCTATACAAGAGATATTATGCCGGCTAATCGTACTCATATACCGACACCTGATGTGGCGAAGCGTTGGTCATATTTAGAACCCGTTGCAAATAAACTTCAACCTTTGATGAGTTGCGACGTTGGATTGCTCATTGGTTACGATTGCGCAAGAGCTCTAGTTCCACGCGATGTCATACCCCCCGAGAGTAATGGTCCATACGCTGAACGGACATACTTGGGTTGGGGCATCATTGGTATTGTAGATTTTAATTCGACTAATGAAGTAGATCATATTGGCTTGAGTCATCGCATTATAACTTGTGAAGTGCCTAATTTGAACACTGCGGACATTGATGGTCGACAGGATGTTGTCGATCGCTGCGATCAAGGTCAAGTTCATATTTCGTTTCGCAACAAGATAAAGGAAGTCATCAGTCCAGATTGTATTCTTAAGCTCATGGAAATGGATTTCAATGAACACTTGGATGACTCTTCAATTATGTCTAGTGACGACCGGAGATTTTTGGACATAATGTCGCGAAAGATTCATATTGCGCCAAATGGACATTACGAAATGCCATTACCGTTTCGGAGTTCTGAACCAGTTATGCAGAATAATAAAATTTTAGCACTTCGTCGTTTGTATCATTTAGAGTCACGTCTTCGTAGGGATAAACATTTGCGCTCAGATTACGTAAGTTTTATGGAAGACATTATTGATAAAGGATATGCCGAAAGGGTTAGTGATGATTCGTACATATCTGAACATGTTAATTATATTCCGCATCACGCCGTTTACATCCCAAAGAAACCTGGAAAAATCTGTGTGGTATTCGATTGTCAAGCTAAGTTCCGAGATAAATCTTTGAATGACTACCTGTCTGTTGAAAGGACCGGACTTAACAAACGCCTTAGTTGGTGTACTTTGTCGATTTCGGAAAGAACGAGTTGCCTTTATTTGCGATATCGAAAAGATGTTTTACCAGTTTCACGTTAATGTTGAACACCGAGACTACCTTCGATTTCTCTGGTGGAGAAATGGTAATTGTGACTCTAAACCTCAAGAATTCCGTATGACCGTTCATTTGTTTGGGGCTGGGTCATCTCCGGGATGCTCAAACTTTGCTTTAAAACAAGCCGCGAAAGATCACGAGAAAGATTTCGGCACAGTTGTCTCAAATTTCATTCAGAAGGATTTCTATGTTGACGATGGTTTAACGTCAGTTTCGTCTGTGAGTGAAGCTATCGACCTAATCAGTAAGAGTAAGGAACTTTTATTGTGTTGTGGAATACGTTTGCATAAATTTCTATCTAATTCAGCAGAAGTTATTGAATCTATACCGTGTCATGATCGTGCAGAAGGAGTAAAGAATCTCGATTTGACTATCGATGATCTCCCAACAGAACGTGCACTAGGGATTGAGTGGTGCATTGAGTCGGATGCGTTCCGATTTCGAATCAAACTTTCGGATAAACCTTTAACGAGAAGAGGTATACTTTCTATTATAAGTTCGATATACGATCCGCTTGGCTTCATATCTCCTTTGTTATTAGTTGGGAAACAAGTTTTACAAGAAATGTGTAGGCTTAACACTGGTTGGGATGATGTGATTCCTGAAGATTTGCTACCACGTTGGCAACGGTGGAGAGATGAACTGTTTAAAATTGAGACTCTTAAGATTGATAGATGTTTCAAGCCTGATGGTTTTGGAACTGTGGTTTCCGTAGGGATTCATAATTTTTCGGATGCGAGTACATTCGGCTATGGAGAATGCTCTTATTTGCGACTAGTGGATGCTAATCAACGTGTTTATGTTTCATTAGTCATGTCGAAGTCCAGAGTGACTCCGTTGCGAGCTATAACTATTCCACGTCTTGAACTGACTGCAGCTGTCGTTGCTGTCAATGTGAACTTACTTATTAAAAAAGAATTAGGATACCCTACAGTTGCTCAATATTTTTGGACTGATAGTCGTGTCGTATTAGGGTATATAAACAACGATGTTCGTCGCTTTCAAACATTTGTTGCAAATCGCGTCCAGAAAATCCGAGATCATTCACAACCGAGAGAATGGCATCATGTTACAACGAAAGCAAATCCTGCGGACATAGCGTTTCTGTGGAAATCTGTAATACCGGATGACAAGGAAGATTATTCGAGTATCGCCTTTGAGGCAGATGATCCTAACATTTGTAAAATTAACTCTTTCGCTCTGAAAACCGAGAACAGTTTTGTTGTGATGAGACTGAGTTTTTGTTCTAGTTGGTTTCAACTTAAAAAGGTTATTGCCTACTGTTTACGTTACATGTCTATTCTTAGAAATCGAATTGCTAAGGACACTAATATTGAAAATCCTGTTGGACCTTTAAGGGTTAACGAACTTAATAAAGCAGAAATTGTGTTATTGAAGCTAGTTCAATCAGAAGTTTTTAGTAAGGAGTTGGAAACTTTGCGATCCGTGAAACAGCTTCAAAATGAGTCTAATAGAAATGACATTCGTTTGCGTCGGAAGTACATGTATATACAAAAGAATTCAACTTTGAGTAAGTTAGATCCATTTTTGGATGATAATAACCTTTTACGAGTTGGTGGACGACTTGGTAACTCAAGACTAAGTTGTGCTGAGAAATACCCAATTATTATGCCGCGTAAGTCTTTCGTGACAGAACTTTTAATTGCTCATCATCATGAATTGTGTGAACACCAAGGTCGTGGACTTACTGTGAATGAACTTCGTTTAAACGGTTATTGGATTCTGGGATGTACCAGTGCGGTTTCGGAATACATTCATAAATGTGTTAAATGTAGGAAATTGCGTGGTTGATGTCAAGACCAGAAGATGTCAAATCTTCCCGAGGACAGATTGGAATCCACGGCGCCCTTTACGTATTGCGGAGTTGATTGTTTTGGCCCTTGGTTGATCAAAGAGGGGCGTAAAGAACTCAAGAGATATGGTGTTCTGTTTACCTGTTTAAATTGTCGCGCGATTCATGTAGAGACTGTCAATACCATGACTACTGATTCTTTTATCAATGCGTTGCGTAGGTTTTTAACATTTCGTGGTCCAATACGAGTGCTTCGGTGTGACAACGGGACTAACTTTGTTGGAGCTAAGCGAGAGCTTATGGATGCTTTCAAAGAGATGAATCATCAACACATCCGACAGTTCCTGCTTAAACGTAGTTGCGATTATTTTGAGTTCAAGATGAACGTCCCTTCTGCCAGTCACATGGGAGGCATTTGGGAACGGCAAATCCGTACCGTACGCAGTATTCTTTCTTCATTAATGGACCAATCCGGTACTCAACTAGATGACGAGTCACTTCGGACATTTATGTGCGAGGCAGCTGCAATCGTAAACAGCCGACCCTTAACGACTGATACTTTAGAACCTCTCACGCCTAACAATCTATTAACTATGAAATCAAAAATTCTGTTACCACCACCTGGTAATTTTCAACAACCTGACGTTTACTCTAGAAAACGTTGGAGACGAGTACAGTATTTGGCTAATGTTTTTTGGTCCCGTTGGCGAGTAGAATATTTACAGAATCTACAAACTCGACAGAAGTGGACTCAACCCATTCGAAATGTTCAAGTTGGTGACATTGTTTTGATTAAGGATGCTGAATTTCCCTGAAATAGTTGGAACTTAGGAAGAGTTGTTGTTGCGGATCCAGACTCAGATGGACATGTGCGAAAGGTGAAGATTATGATTGGTGATCGTGCGTTGGATGATAACGGAAAGCGAGTTAATCCTATATCATACCTGGATCGTCCAATTCATAAACTAGTTGTTTTATTGGAAAACTAGACCAGGGTGTTCCCCATCGAGGAGCCTTCGTTTTTGCGATTACGATTACGTTAGTGCGTTGCGGGACATTTTGTTGTTCTATCTTGCCATACATATAGATGTAGGCCTATGTACATTTTCGTTGCGATTTGGTTAGTGCGATACGAATATGGGAATTCGAACATTCTGTAATAATTGTCAATTTTAGTCTTGGTAATGTGCGTATATTTATGTACATGTAACATGTAATATCTTTCTGCGCAGATTGCAGAGTGTCTTGTCATGCTTCATTTTATGAAAATTAAATGTCTTTAATTTTGAGGAGCCATGTAACCGATTCATAAAACGGGTCAGTTTGTACGTTGGAACAGCCTTAAGTTAATATGATAGAAGAGCTTTTAGTTTAAGGGATAGGTTATTGTTATTGTCTAATAATATGAACTCTGTGAACTGTTGTAATGTTTTTTTGATGTATGTTTTTTATGTATATTAATTTATTACGTTACAAACTTCCAGGCTGCGCTACGCTTCGTAAAATAGTAACCTAAAGCATTGATGTTAAATTGTTTAATATCCCTGCGTAATTAATGCTCCCTGTGTCAGTCTTGCAAATGGCTTTCCTAGAAACCATGTTTTTTCGTTTTTGCGTGTGGTCAAGTTAACAGGCTCTTGGAGGTAAATAATTCTGTAATATTGCATTTGTATGTCATATTTCGTTTAATGTAGTATTCATTTATTTGTCCTGCTAGGTTTTGCGTTGTGTTAAACTGTATTAATTTGTATTTTTCAGTTTTCACGTCTGTGTTACCGGCATGTCTTTTAATTCAAGTCTGGAAGTTCGAGTCTAAGTTGTTTGCGTTCATCATGATTGTATGATATTCTACGTTAGGCTATTTCCAATGTTTATACGATGATATCCTCGTCCGATGTCATGAAGCATTAAAGAGACAATGAATAAAGATATGTATATGGTGTATTACAGTTAGTCGAGTCTCCTTTTCAATCTATGGTGTTATACTCCTGTTATCATGATCACAGGCTGGGTGCGTCCGTCTAGGTCTCCAGCTGCCTCTATAGTCTTCATTAGCCCAGTAGGACATTAAACCTAAACCCATTTTCATTTCATGTCTTGTGTACATGCTGGCATTACCATAAAAAGGAACCCTTGAGAGTTAGAATTCAAAAAAGAGATGCCAAAAAGGCTGCTATTCTGGCAAAACTTCCCTCCTAGCACACTGCATAGCATATATTTGTCTTTTAACCCCATACTTTTTTTTTTAAGTAAAATTTAGAAATAGTTGAAGTACTTAAATTAATGCGTTCCTTCATATCATAAGTTTAAGCGACCAAAAAGGTGGCCTACAAGTTCTGACACAAATAAGTTCTAGCACATTTTGACCTTCTTGTACATCTAGATTTTATTTTCTGCACCACTCGTGTATTCTTCATCTATCCCCAACCATAAGGGGTCCTTTAATGTGTACGACAAAAGGATTGACCTCAGTTTTCCAAACGAATTGGGGATCATGGTGGCTAATTGGGTGAGGCACTGGCTTGCTAGCCTGAAGGGCGGATGTTCGATCCCTGCATTTGCCGAGAAAGTCCATTCAGATTTTCCGGCGTGGTACCCCCTTGTCAGTGATGCAGGATGGAAGGCCTGACAAGGACAGTTGTCTAGTCATTCAGATGGGAAGAAAAACCGAGGTCCTGTGTACACATTGGCGTGAATGTAACTGATCCCTTGACAGTTGGAATTTGATAAAAGAGTAGGCCGCAGTGCTGCTGTCCGGGCAAAATTTCCCTCATAGCACACTGTATGGCGTATGCCCGTCTTCATTAGCCCAGTTCGGAGCAGAATCGTAGGACGTTAAACCCCATTTCATTTCCAAACGACTGGGGGTAGTTGGGTGGTCAAGTAGTCTGACAGATCACAAGGTCTGTCATTGAGTCAAGTGGTGTGGTTTCTATCCCATGCTTGTACATGACAAGGAGTGGGATTGTCTGCTCGACCTAATAGGTTTTCTCCTGGTCCTCTGGGTTCTTTCCACTGCTAAAGAACCCTACATGCAACCGAATTATTGAAATCAATTGTACAATATGGTAGTCCCAAAATAACCTAGTTTGTGTTGAGTGGATGCTTTCTCCTTGCCAGAACTTCCATCATACATCACCGACAGAGGGAAACTAATTAGAAACTAGAACTTGCGACCTCCTAGTTTACTGATCTGTGTCACATTCAGTGAGTAACAATGAGTACTGATCTGTGTCACATTCAATGAGCAACCATGACTAACCTACATATCATGGGCTTGGAGAAATTGATCTCTAATAATGAATAAGGGAAAGTATGATAATAAATAATCATTAAATGAACAGGAATTTGACTACCTGATAATAGATATTTGATTTAAAGGAGCTAAATCGCTAATATTTGGGACCTAGAAATTGACACAAATGGGTCACAACGCATATAATAATGTAATATCAGAGGCGGATTGGGGCTTAGATGAGGGGCCGGCAGCTCTCCCTCGGGAAAATTTTAAAAAATGATACCCAAATATGCGATTTTGTGGCATATCTGATTATAATCTCTGTCAAATAATATATCTCATAAATCGATTAATTCAGTCCAAAACCCCGACCTGCAAGTAATTTACAACCATTAACCTGCGAAATTATCATATCGTCAGATTATGCAGGATTCCAAATTCCGGCACACCCGGCCCAGAAAGTCTATTATACTAGCCCATTCCAGACTCCAGTGTTGGCGTGGCGGCCCGTTAAAGCCACCGACTACAAAAAAATTATTTTCTTTATTTTTTGTCCGACCGGCCCTTCAGGCGATCGATCGCCCGATAGCCCAATCCGCCCCTGTGTAATATGAATGTATATAAACTTATTTACATTCCGTCGTTTCTGTTTTTACTGTAATTTCTAATCAGTTATGTTCGGTGAAATACGTCAGAAATCTCAATTGAATGGCAATCTATAGCGTCTGGTTATTCCAGTTTACATCGATAGTATTTATTGCGCATTCTCTCCAGATAAGAATATGACGTTACCGTTTGACATGACTTGTGGAATATGTGTAGCCTCGTTCTTTGAGTGCCTTAAATTACAAATGGGGCTGAAACGCATTACGTTACACGATTCGTGTTTATTTTGTTTATTTTGTCTTAAATATTGGATATCAGAAGCCCATCTTTTACCCGATAAGATCACAACATCAATGTTGATTTAAATTGACAAATAATTTGTGTTTACAATGTCAAAGACTTTAGATGATACTGAGATAGAGACTTAGCTACTTTAAAATGCAAAGTCTTTCCTACTGCAATTTTGTTGTTATGGAGCATGTATTCACTTCGTTTCATTAGCTAAGTTCCATGTTTTTAAGAAATCTAAAAAAACTAAGTATACTTTTCAGCTTTTGATAAATCGAAGTTACCATCTGTTTTATTTACTCCCAGATAATTTAATAGGTCTGCTGAAATGCTTGCTTTTGTCCTCTCCAGGTGAGAATTGAGCCAAGTGAGTAGGCCTAGGCGCTGGCTCATGACTAGGCTATACTATAACCAGAAGTCCAGGATTCCATCCCGGTGTTGGCTGGAAGGGTCACTACATTTCCAATGTAATTAATTATATTACCATTACTTTTTAAATGTAATCATTACAATTACTTTTTAATTTTTAGCAATGTACCATGACCCATTACATGAAAGTAATTAATTACTATTACACATGTACTTTATGACTTTATAAACAAAAACCTTTTTTATAAACATTAAAAAAACCCAAATAACACTTAATTTAATTTTTCTGCCCATGTAATCTCACTATAAATTATAATAGATTTTTCTGTAAGAATTGTTATTTCTATGAACAATTTAAAGTAGCTAAATCGCTAACATTTGGGACCTAGAAATTGACAAAAGTGGGTCGCAACGCATATAATACTGTAATATGAATGTATATAAACTGATTTACATTCAATGGTTTCCGTTTTTACTCCAATTTCAAATCAGTTATGTTCGGCAAAATAAGCCAGCAGTCTCAAGCGAGTGCAAATTTCTAGCATCTGGTTATTCCAGTCTACACACCCCGTTTGATTTGGTGCAATGTGTCTAGCCTCGTTTCTCGAGTCTCTTGATACAACTGGGGCTGAAGCGCATTATGGTACACGATTCGTGTACCAATGGTAAAATGTTTATTTTGTCTTAAATATTGGATATCAAAAGCCCATCTTTTTCCGGTAAGATTTAATTTGACAAATAAATCGTGTTTTCAATGTTGAAGATTTTCGATTTACCCAAGTCTTCCCGAATCTTCCATTATTTTAACTCAATCAATATAATTATCGATATTTGATAATAAACACTCTTTATATCTGTGTCATTTAACCATACATGTAAATTATCAAAAAATCGATATAAATTATTGTGAGATGAGTTGAAATACATGTAATGGTTGGTTGGGTAGATGTGAGTAAATTGTGCTACCGAAAAAGTGGGGCATTATATTATATAAATCTCATTCATTCACTCATTCAGTCCTCTTCAGGGGACATAACCCTCCAATGACAATTAGGTCTACTGTGACACATAATTAAGGTATGTCTATATAAAAGTATTTTTTAGAAATCATATCCGTCCAAAAGAACAAATAACTGGTGTAATCTAATTAATTTAATTAGACTTTGTTGATCTGGATCAAAACTAAAATTATTGATTGTGAAATACTGGGGCTGTTACCTGATTGAACCGGATGTGATCCAGATGTGAACTGTGGAAAAGAATAAAACGTGATTGTAATAACTAATATTACCGTACACAGCAAGCGATCTAATTATTCGATTTGTTAATTTTGTTATGGATTATATGTAAGTTGGTTAGACATCTATCTCCAAAATACCCGATTGATAATCACAACTTACACTTTACCTTAAAACTGCTTTCTTTCGAAGGATATTTCACCAGTTTGAGTTTGAGGGGAAAAAAACAAGGTCAAGGTACATGTATGTACGGACACACAAGAAATCAACAAAAACTTTGAAGACATCAGTAGATCAATTGGTACATAGCCAGGAAATGATAAGGATCTTTATTAATTTTATAATTCTATTTGATTTATTTTCAGTTAGAATATGGTCATCTTTTGGTTTGTAATTCTTATGATCATTGTAGGTCTACATGTATTGTAAAAGCTTTTATTATCATGATAATTGTATAAATTACAAAGGGTGTAAAGTTCTAAACAGAAACACAATATTATCCAGAATCTTTGACATTACAAACACAAATTATTGGTCCATTAATAATCACGAATTATTGGTCTATTATTGCAATCAATAGTGTGATATGTTGTTATCTTGCCTGTGAAAATATTTAATACAGTGAACAATTTTAAAACCAATAGTTCTACGTGTTGAGTGTGATTTTTAATGAGATGTCTTTATGAACGAGGCTAAACATCAGTGAGTAAGTGAAATGTAGAATGGAATAACTAAATGTGAATGACTGACATTCAATTTGGACATTTCAATTATTTTGATGAACAAAACTGATTAGAAATTACAATACATGTAAAAGTTATAAAGAAATTAACAGAAATCAGTTTTATAGTTATACACTCATGTTACAATTATATATATGTGCTTTTTGGTCTATTTTAGGTTCTAAAAATTAGAGATTTAGCTGTTTAAATTACTATATAGGACAGAATAGAATAGGGTTGGGTTTTTTTTCATCGAAACGTATTTTGAGGACAGTATGCAATATGCAAAGTATTAATAAATACAAGCTTAAAACATTTGCACAGGTACCGGTACAAATATATGGATGGGCATAAATTCAGAGCACTCATATAAATAAACAGTATAAAACCTGCATACATGATACATATGAAAATTCAAAACTAAACGTACAAGTATAAAATCACATGATTGAATTCTCTAAATTAACAATCTTTCAGTAAGGTATTTCGCTCAGTTTTCCAACAATTACTATTTCTTTGATACTAAGTACACCCGGGTCACATACCAAACTTCACTAAATTCACTAGAAAGTAGAATTATGTACTGTACTGTACATGTATATGGATTTCAGAGGAGAATTATTACAGTTAATTGGCATTCTTATGGGTACCAAACCTGTTCCTTTACATGCTAATATATTTATTTAGTCAGACTTTATGTATGATCTTATAAAACATAATAGGTGACTTGCAAAAAAGTTCAATATCTCTCAGAAATACATGTATAAGCAATGTATTATCTCTAAATTTTAATGATTAGGTCATAGAGATGATAGATGCCAACCATAACAAATATTTACATTCTATTTGGACTAAGTTATACCCATGATATATACATTTTTGGTAACATGTATAACTGGTATGGAAGCTGTTCCTGTATACAGTTGATGTGAGGATTTACAGTATAGACTGAGAATTTTGATTTTTTTGTGTGCACCAGTGATAAAACCCACATTAAAATAGGGATAAAAATGCAATGAAATAACAAGAGTTGGATAAAAAAATATTTTAAAATGACTCTGAAACTAGAATGGGGGGTTGGATGGCCGAATGGTTAGCACGGGTGTGCTGTAGGCCTATCATTAAGCCTGTCATTGAGTCAACTGGCGTGGTTTCAAATCCCCGGGTCCTCCGGTTTCCTCCCACTTCTAAAGACCCCTACGCGCAAGCGAATTATTGAAATATAATTAAACCATGTGTTAGTCCCGAAATGACCTAGTGGAGTGGACGTTAAACCCTATTTCTCTCTCTCTCTCTGAAACTAGATGAATTGCAGTGGATCAAATATTCAAATGTCAATTCCAATAGTAATTTTTTTAGAATAAGATTATTTAAATAGTAAATTAGGTATTCATTGACATCACTTACTAAAAGTGTCATTTTTATTTTTTTTGTAGAAGAAAGTAAAATGGCAGACAGTAAATGTATGTTTAGACGACCAGGGATACGACCGGTTGATAGACAGCGCATGAAGCCATGGTTAATTCACTATCTAGACAGCGAAAATGTCTACGGATTAAAATGGGAAGACAAAGCAGGTGGAATCTTCTCTATCAAATGGCAGCATGCTAGTAGTACAAAATGGAATCTAAGCACTGATGCAGATGTGTTTGAAAGATGGGCCAGACATACAGGTGAGTCAACAATCACTATTAAAAGTCTGATCACAGTGGCAGTCGGAAAAGATCATTTGGGTAACTTGTGAAATAATGAAGAGCAAAACTAAAGGTGGGGTAACTGGGAAATGAAATGAAATGAAATGGGTTTACAATCCTTCTGTTCTGCTTCTATGCTGGGCTAATGAAGACGGGCATGAGGGAAATTTTGCCCAGGCGGCACTATGGCCTACTCTTATATCAAATTCAAACTGCCAAGGAATCTTTTACATGCACACCAATGTATACACGGGATGGGACCTCAGTTTTTCGTCCCATCCGAATGACTAGACAGCTGTCCTTGTTAGGCCATCCGTCCTGCTTTCTAATTTTCTATACTGAAAGATTCAGCGAAATATAAACAACTAGTTCTTACATGTAATAAACTTTTTATATATTAACAGCTAACCAGTACAATTTACTACACATATGAACAGTTCACACCACAGAGTAAAAATACACAGAGTGGCGACTCGCATTACGGCCCATAGTAACACAGCGACGCGCAATGCATCTTGGGAATTGTCTGTAATAAACACACACTGACAGTTCGCTCAACGACGTTACGATATCTACATTGATGAACTAAATCTCTTTAATTTTGTAGTTTTATAGTATTTTCGGTAACAAAACTACCGAGAATTATCACATACAATCATACGTTAGTTGTGTGTGTTTTTTCGGGAATTTATAAAACATGATTCATATTTTTAAAACATGCATAGATAAAGCGTGGTACAGCCCGGAATGAAGTGAGAGACGGCATTTGTGACGGTTTATGAATTGGTCTATAAGGCTGTAAATTATTGTCGATTTAAAAAAGTTTTTATTAACTCTAAAACTAATCCACCAAATACTTGTTGTTTCGATTCTCAGATTTGAAATCTAATTTCCATATACCTTAAAATGGACCATTTGAAAATGTCAAAGTGACACGCCTTTTTTTGGATAAGGGCTATTTAACTCAACATCAACATGATTTACCTTTGTCTTCTAGAGCTTATTACTGTGTGATTTTCTTATTTATGTTATGTTAATAAAGTAAGCTTTCATTAAAATATAAAAAAAATAATTTAAGAATATTAAAATCGAATTTCAAATAGGCATATAACGTTTTCCAATAAACAGATTTGAGCACTGTGTGCTTTTATGATTTTTGTTCTATTAATTAATGTAGGCTTTCATTTTTTAAAAAAAAAATAAAATAATTAACGATATTAAAATTCTATTTGAAATAGGCCTATAAAATTTTTCAATAAACATTATTTGAGTTGATTGGTTTCTCTTTTTACAAACAAGTATAAAGCAAAAACAACTTTAGAATGAATACTTTGCATATTGCTCTGGGTGTCATGTAATGTTTTGACAGACTTTATAGGCCCCCTAATAGTATGAAATTATCCATTTTAAACTAACAAGAATATATGAAATTATTATAAATCTGAAGTGTGTTCTAGATATCCATGACAATGACATTAGGTCTGATCTGTGTTCAGAGTTACTTTTATTTTTGTGATTTTTTTGTCAACTGATTATTTAGAAATAGAAAATTTAGTTTATACTGTGTACTTATGGAATTATCTGCCATGAAAACTGAAGTTAACCATACAGCATACTATTATTGGATAATGACAGAGTAAATTAAAATTATTTTGAATTACTGAATGGTTTAAAATTAGTGACAGTGCTTCAGTAAATATTTTATTGGGAGGATTAAGGCCTACCAGTAAAAGGGGAAATGTGATTTTGAATAGCATAACAGTATTAGGCTGACTGTATTAAAAGCTTATTGCAACTGAAAATTGAGCAAAATAATATTTTTGTTATGAAATTTGGAAAGGTATATAACATACCATATACTTAACACTTAAATTGTTTACCACAAGTAATTGTAGACCTACATATAATCACATTTTTCGATACACAAAATATGGAATGTAAAAAGAACATGCTCAACTACAGACTTAATGGGTAAAGCTTACGATTTAAAATTTGATCCTTTAAAAATCACAACTACATGTAATTCTAAAATTACGAAAATACTAGATAGCATGAAATAAAGAATGCAAGGATTGAGTTGGTTTACATTGAAGCGCAACTACTTCTTGTCCCGCGAAAGCCCAACTACTAAAAAAAGAATTACCGGATATTAATACGTTTATTAGACCTATGACTATGACATGTTATGGATTCAAGTGGCGTGGTTTCGATTCCCCGCTTGTACGCGACAGGTGTAGGGTCGCCTGTCCAACCTAGTGGATTTTCTCCGGGTCCTCCAGTCTCCTCTCACTCAGTCCCTGCTAAAAAAAAAAAGAACCATCAATTGAATTATCGAAATAAAACTGAACCATGTTAGTCCCGAAATTACCTTGATTTGATTTAGCTTAGACAAGTTAGAGCGAGAGGTCATATTATCATAAGTTAGATAGCCTAAAGACGTATACCTATAGATCTACTTCTACAGGGTTCCAGCGGTCCTTGAAAATCCTTGAATATCCTTAAATTTAAAATTTCATTTTCAAGGTCTTGAATATCCTTGAATTTCGCGGAAATAGGAAAATATCCTTGAATTTCAGTTGAGATCCTTAATTTTGTTTCAAATGTCTTCAATTCCTTTTAAATATGAGATTATAACGATAGTTGGTAATGTTTTGGTTATTTTTAAGATGAAAAATTGTAACTTTAGGCTAAAAAATGTCCTTGAAAATCCTTGAATTTGACGTATATTTATCCTTGAATATCCTTGAAAAAATGTTTGACGAAGCCGCGGGAACCCTGTTCTAGGCCTACAGTACTCAGTACTCTACATTGAAATATATCATAATATGCAATATAATGCCAATTAATCAATCAAATACGAAAACACCTTTCACCAAATATTTACTCTTACAAAATAAATTTTTGATGATATATACTGCTGTCATTATTATCTATAGTATTATAGTATTTTCTTCTGTTCAGCTGCGAAGCGTCTTCTTTAGCCGACATATTTAGTGACATTGCAGACAAAACCCAAGATGCAGTGCGCGACCTACTTTGTATGCAAATGAAGCAGTCGCCACTCTGTGTATTTTTACTCTATGGTTCACACATCAGCTTACATTAAGTTTCGCATGGGCCTAGAATAGCCTAATCAGTTTGCATACGCATGGGCCTGCTATAGCCTAATTAGAGAATTCTAATGCGGATGAATTCATCTTAAATATTAAGACTGTACAATCTACGTGCTGAATATTACACCGAAGACACGCTAAATATTACTGACGATGCTGATTACATGCTGAATATTATCTGAAGAACATGCTGAATATTACATTCTGAAGGTTTCACTGAACATTACGTGAAAACTGAAATAAGAAAAAGACATTTGATTACCATACAGTACTGATTGACTAACATTAACGGTGACAATAAACATAACGTAAACAATACGTAACCCTGTTGAAAGGACGATAACACATGACAGATGACAGCTGACAGCGCTGTCTCGACGAATCCTAAACATGGCTTAATATGACTAAAACATTGCTTGGCATAGCACACAATAACACTGACATGTAATTAGACATACAACAAATTATGTGTTTATAAAACGTAATACCTTTTTGACTTCACCCTTTTCCCGATTTGACACATTTGGCTGCCATGATGATCCTGCGAAAGACCACGTATTTTGAGGGAAGCTTATTAGGTATACGTAATAAAGTTAACTAAATGCCAATAATCATAATTTGATTCTCTTAATAAATATCTACATATTTAATACACCAACTAATAATATAAAAGCTATGAGATTAAACAAGCTTAAAGTAGCTAAGTCTCTAACTCAATATCATCCAAAGTCATACACGTTGAAAATAAGAATTATTTGTCAATTCAAATCAACATTGATGTTGTGATCTTACCAGGAAAAGACAGGCTTCTGATATCCAATATTTAAGACAGAATAAACATTTTACAATTGGTACACGAATCGTGTACCATAGTGCGTTTGGCGTCATTTGCAACAAGTGACCAGAAAGAACGAGGCTAGACATATTCAACTGGAGAACCTGCTCAATAGACTGGAATAACCAGACGCTAGAAATTGCTATAGGGTTGAGACACAGGCCGTATTTCGCTGGACATAACTGATTTGAAATTAAGAGTCAAAACGGAAACAATTGAAAATGTAAATCAGTTTATATACAATCAGATTACATTTGGGTCAATTTCTAGATCCCAAATATTAGCGATTTAGCTCCTTTAAGACACATATACAATATTAAAGAGAAACAACAAACGAAACCAATTAATTCCCCCACTAATATGCAATTGACCAGCAAACGGCCAGTACACTGAGTTAGCAATCGGAAAACTACAACTATCGTACGGCTACCGTTACAGAAATAAACAAAAACAATTCACTGATTACAAGAAAGAAGCAATGCAAAGGGTGTGACCTTTCTTGTCTGTCAAATGTTGTCATTTAGCTAATACGTCTACAGAGGGCAATAATTTAGCTAGAATTTTAAAGTTAGCTTTGTTTGTTATAATTAACTTGAAGCACATGTATTACATTTTTTTTAGATAACAGGACTAGTATAGACTACTGTCATAAGAATAGATTATGATGTCAAAACATCGTTTGTCTTCTTTATAAAACGGTATTTTAAAATTACGTCGGTCTAGTATCGACACGAATAATTCAGGCATGGTCGCCATGCTATTGTTATTTGCCCATGTAACTCATTTTTCCCACCAAAACGAACCATTCTAGTTTGCTTTTGTAAAAAGCAATGCAAGTTCGTTGGCAAGTGCAATTTAAGCTGTGAAGTGGTGGTTTGTTAAGAGAGAAAAAATTAAACTGGTATCTATTAGGTAATAACAGTGCGTACTTCAGGTGGATATATTCTTCATGTGATTATAGCCTACAGAATATTATGTTGTCCAATGAATTTGTGTGAATTGAAAATGATTAAAATGTTGTGTTATGGCAAATGGGGTGCCAAGTAAAAACATGTGGTCAATTCTTATGCAGGGAAATGGTTATAGATGAAAAATTATCGAGCTTGTATATTTACGGGATTATCAAATTTACTGTTTGTACTAATTATCTATATCATAATTCCAAAACCATAAAAAAAATCATCAGTAAAATGGCATTAGTACAGCTAAATAGGTTACTTTTGATAGCTCCGGCCATTGGGCTAGTGGATTTTTACAACCTTGCAGGTATCCTGTTGACTTGGTACAGGTGTTTGCAGTACAGGTATCTCTTATTTCTAAAATAATATGGAACACATCACTCAATACCTTTAATATTTGCATTTTCTCACATCCTAGAAACTGCTACATAGGTGCGATAAAGGCTTAGTAGAAACTGCTTTAGGAAAGATGCTTAGTAGAAGCTGCTTTACGAAAGATGCTTAGTAGAAGCTGCTTTAGGAAAGATGCTTAGTAGAAACTGCTTTACGAAAGATGCTTAGTAGAAACTGCTTTACGAAAGATGCTAAGTAGAAGCTGTTTACGAAAGATGCTTAGTAGAAACTGCTTTACGAAAGATGCTTAGTAGAAACTGCTTTACGAAAGATGCTTAGTAGAAGCTGCTTTATGAAAGATACTTTTAAACTGATCTGCGGAAGATGCTATCTAGAAAGAGTAAAAAACAAATAGGATGTGACGAAAAGCAGATGCTAATTTTAATGAGAGATGTTCAAAACATTACATACGACTTAGTACATACGACTTTGTCATTTGAGGTATTTTGTCAGCGGTATCTTTCCATAGTATCGCCAACATGAAAGTTATTTGCCACAAAGTACATATAAAGTTATTAAAGTAAGTAAAGTTATTATTTGTTTGAAGTAAAATTATTATATTATTTTAGGTAAACATAAAGAGGGTGACATATCAGATCCTAAAAGATGGAAGGCAAATTTTCGTTGTGCTTTAAACAGTTTATCAGATATTAAATACTTGTCAATGGTTAAGCATGGTGGATATAGATACCGAGTATATCAAATTCTAAAAGATGATATAGGTAAGTAAACTACATGTAGGAGTCAATTACCTACTCTAAATTTTTGCCTTTATCAATCACATACCGTACTCCAAATCTCCACCTTCATCAATCACATACTCCAAATTTCCACCTTCATCAATCACGTACTCCAAATCTCCACCTTCACCAATCATGTACTCCAAATCTCCACCTTCATCAATCACATACTGACATAGTCCAAATCTCCACCTTCATCAATCACATAGTCCAAATCTCCACCTCACATAGTCCAAATATCGACCTTCATCAATCACATAGTCTAAATCTCGATCTTCATCAATAACATAGGCCAAATCTCCACCTTCGTCAATCACATTTTCTAAATCTCTGCCTTCACAAATCACATTTTCTCAATCTCTGCCTTCACAGTTCACTACTCACATTTTCTAAATCCCTGCCTTCACTAATCACATCCAGTTCGATAAGAATGAGTTAGATATAATCAAAATCAAGACTGTTAAATATAGTTATTAACTTATAATGAATGAAATTAAATGGGGTTTAACATCCTACTGATCTGCTTCGATTGGGCTAATGAAGTCGGGCATATGCCATACAGTGTGCTTTGAGGAAAATTTGGCCGGAATGCGGCACTACAGCCAACTCTTAATATCGAATTTCAGCGTCCAATAGATCTTTTACCTGAAGTATTTGAGAAATGTGGGTGTTTGTAGAACATATTAATTAAGCTGTATTACGGGATGAAAAGATGGAAATATTTTGCATTATGAATTAATAATAATATTATGATATTATTGCAGTTGTCAAGGCAAAAACAGGGAGAAAAGACAAACAGGTTGGTACTAATCCTCCTTTCAGAGTGGAGTTCAACGTCGCGACGACACAGGTTGGTATATTAATCCTCAACACATTACTCTGGTCGTTCTGAGACTAATATATGGTTAATTTTTGTTCTATAGTCGCATGACCAGTGCAAGTGAGAAGAATTTTAACCTACTATTGTGCACGTTAAATCACATAGTCTGTCATCTAGTCAAGTTGCGTGCTTTCAACTCCCTGCTTAGTCTATTTCGATTGGATGTTAAACACCTTTTCTCTCTCTCGCTACCTGTGACAATGGGAACCAGACTTGAAAAATCGTAAGGTGATTCTCAGCATTTCTTGGGATTCAAACCCAGTGCCCTGACCCTTGATTTATTTGAATTTTACCATATACCTTGTTCCATCACTCCTGACACTGAGATTCATCTATGTACATATGGGCATGAATGTAAAATAGAGCTGGAATTTGATGAAGAAATAGTCCTCTCCCGGCAAAAATCTCCTTACTTAGCATTGCACTTACAGAAATAAAATGAGGTGTAATGTCCTACTTTTCTACTCTGACTGGGCTAATGAAGACAGAGCACATTATATTAGTCTCAAAATGAGCAAAATATTATGTGAGAGAGAAAAATGGGGTTCAACGTCCACTCGACACAAACTAGGTCACTTCGGGACCAACATATGGTTTAATTTTATTTCAATAATTCACTTGCGCAAAGGGGTCTTTAACAGTGGGAGGAAACTGGAGGACCCGGAGAAAACCCACAGAGTTGGACAGAAAATATTATGTTGCAATGCGTTCAATCCGTTCCCTTCTTTTAAACTCCCCACATATTCACTGATAAGTATAATTTGAACTCTCCATTTGGACTGTCCGAGGCCCCAGCCAAAGAACACCAGGGCATTATTTGGACTGTACCCATTTACTTGTTGTCATGCACATAAAAGATACTTAGACTAACAAATTTAATGAATCGAAGGGAGAAATGCCACAGTCCAGTCATATGCCGCTCTTCACTAGCCAAGTTAATGCCAGAAAAATACAATATTAAACTCCACTTCATTTCATTTGTATTTAAAGAACTAGCCATTCTTGCTATAATAGTTAAAAAATAGATAATGCAAAATGAATGTATTGAAAATATTCAAATTATTTTATTCTGAGCCAAATTATCACTGTTGTTTGGACAAGATGTGTGCATTAATTGTTTAATATTATTACCACGGTACTATTATATTGAGTCTTAGCTTCACTTTCCCATTTTGGATGGTCGAATGGTTAGCACGTGCGTGATGTAGCATAAAACCTGTCATTGAGTCAACTGATATGGTTTCGAATCCCTGGTTGTACGTGACAAGGAGTAGGGTCGCCTGTCCAACCTCGCAAGCGAATTATTAAAATAAAATCAAACCATATATTAGTCCCGAAATGACATAGTTTTTGTCGAGTGGACGTTAAACCCCATTTCTCTCTCTCTCTCTCTCCAATTTTTATATGCCCACATTGAAATGTGGTCGTATATTGTCGTCGCCCCCGTCCGTCCGGCATCCACAATTGCTAGTGGACGCTCTAGAGGCTAAAGTTAATATCCAATTGACTTTAAATTTATATACAGTGTTTAAGGCCATGAGACGAAGAAGCCTATTTATTTTCAGCGATTTCCGATAATTACCGCCAGAATTATGGCCCTTGATCACTTTAAAAAATCTTGTGGACGCTCTAGAGGCCAAAGTTAATATCCGATTGATTTTAAATTTATACACAGTGTTTAAGGTCATGAGACGAAGAAGCCTATTGATTTTCAGCGATTTTCGATAATAACTGCCAGAGTTATGGCCCTTGATCACTTCAAAAAATCTTGTGGACGCTCTAGAGGCCAAAGTTAATATCCGATTAACTTTAAATTTATACACAGTGCTTAAGGTCATAAGAAGAAGAAGCCTATTGATTTTCAAAGATTTCCCATAATTAATGCCAAAATTATGGCCCTTGATCACTTTGAAAAATCTTGTAGACGCTCTAGAGTCTAAAGTTAATATCCGATTGACTTTAAATTGATACACAGTGTTTAAGGTCATGAGAAGAAGAAGTCTATTCATTTTCAGTGATTTCGATAATTACTGCCAGAGTTATGGCCCTTGATCACTACAAAAAATCTTGTGGATGATCTAGAGGCTAAAGTTAATATCTGATTGACTTTAAATTTATACACAGTGTTTAAGGTCATGAGACGAAGAAGTCTATTCATTTTCAGTGATTTTCGATAATTACTGCCAGAGTTATGGCCCTTGATCACTACAAAAAATCTTGTGGATGATCTAGAGGCTAAAGTTAATATCTGATTGACTTTAAATTTATACACAGTGTTTAAGGTCACAAGGCGAAGAATCCTATTAATTTTCAAAGATTTACGATAATTACTGCCAGAGTAATGGCCCTTGATCAGTTTGGAAAATCTTGTGACGCTCTAGAGGCTAAAGTTATCATCCGATTTACTTCAGATTGATACACAGAGTTTAAGATCTTGATACGAACAAGTAAATTTTTATGACTTGAACAGCTAAATCCATGATAATAAAAGTTTTGTATACTAAGCGTTAGCATGGGGCAGAACTTTATAAAAACCGAACAAATTCTAATTGTTTTCTGATAATTACTTCATGAGTTGTTACTCTTAATCAGATTTTAGTGTATTATAAATGTTTCATTACCGAAAAAAAGTATAAATATGCAACAACACTTTTAGCCTGCCAGGACGATTTAGCTGCTGTGGGCGTATGTTTCGTTGCCTGGCAACCTATCTTTAGTTTAAATCATTAAATGGCCAAACCGTTCTAATCCAGGTAAAAGCTTGAGTATCCGATGACATCAAGAGTTGATTATGGTTTTGTCATGTCTAATTTATTATTTATATAACATTTACAGCCTAAATAATCCTGCAATAGGTAAATTTACGTCTTGAATAATGTATGCTTAATGTATTCTGATTTTGTCTTTTTAAGGAAAGACATGAAGCCATTACTTTGCATCAGTGTGTTGTATGTGATGAGATATTTGAACAAAAAGATGATTTAGAAAAACACAATAAAATACATGTTAAAGAAGAAAAAACTGATGATGATATAAAGACTTTGTATCGCTGTCGAAAATGCAGCGAAAAATTTGAGAAATACATTGATTTAGAGAAACATAGTAAAATCCATGTGAAAATGGAGAAACTGGACGATTGTGATATGGAAGTAGACAGTGTTTGTCAGGTCCCAGCTGTACATTTTAACAAAGCAGATGTTCAGCTTGTTCATATTTGTATTGTTTGTGGTAAAACATTTAATACCACATGTGACATGGAAATACACAGTAAACTACATGTTAAAATAGAGAAAAATGATGATGATGATAAAATAAATGAAATTGAAACATTCCATGAATGTAATTTGTGTGAAAAAGTATTTAAATCGGATGATGAATTAAGCAAACATTGTAAAATACATGTTAAAATTGAGAAAACCAGAGAAAATCCTTTACATCAAAATATAGTTTTTGATTCTAATTATGACCCAATTACTGAACAAAGGAAAAGTAGTGAAATAATTTGTAGCACAACTTATAAATGTGGTGCTTGTGATCAATCATATGGTAACGTTGGTGATCTAGAGGATCATCTGAGGATTCATACTGCAGTAAATTCTTATAACTGTGAATTTTGTGGTAAATTATTTAATAATAGGAGTCATCTGTACAAACATATTAGAATCCATACAGGTGTGAAGCCATATAAATGTGATGTATGTAGTAAATCATTTAATAGGACAAATGATTTGGACGATCATAAAAGAATTCATACAGGAGAAAAACCATTTACGTGTGATGTGTGTTGGAAATCCTTCAAACAAGTAAGCCATCTAAGGACACATATGCGAATTCATACAGGAAAAAAACCATATAAATGTAATGGGTGTAATTCAGGGTTTCGTGACACGAGTAATCTGACTCAGCATGTTAGAGTAGCTCATAGTGAAAAGAAATATAAATGTGAAGGAAGAAAAATGGATGCGCGAGATGAGTCATCTCTTCTTGGGAAGAAACATGTTGAAGAAGAGATGTCTACCTCAGCTGCTGAGTCATCTGTTCTTGGGGAGAAACACGGGGAGATGTCAACCTCAGCTGCATCAGGAACTTCCCTATCTCTTACTGGAGGAAACACTGATGTGGTTGGTGAGATGTCAACCAGAGCCTGTTCAGCTGTCCCCCAATCTCATACGGGAAGGGAAACTGAGATGCCAACCACAGCCGCTTTAGTGGACACCAAATCGCTTCCTGGAGGAAAAACTGAAGTGCTAACTGAGATGTCAACCTCAGCCTCCCAAGGTATCTTACAGTCTCTGCTTTGTGGTAAAGATGCTGTAAGAGAAGATATATCAACCTCAGCCTCCAAAGGTACCTCCCAGTCTCTGCTTTGTGGTAAAGGTGCTGTAAGAGAAGATATATCAACCTCAGCCTCCCAAGGTAACTCCCAGTCCCTGCTTTGTGGTAAAGGTGCTGTAAGAGAAGATATATCAACCTCAGCCTCCCAAAGTAACTCCTAGTCTCTGCTTTGTGGTAAAGATGCTGTGCGAGAAGACATATCTACCTCAGCCTCCCAATGTACCTCCAAGTCGCTTACTGCTATTATTAATAAAATTTTAAAAACCTCTAATACAGACATACATTTAAGTTTTGGCTGTAAAGTTTGTGGAACTAAATTTCAGACTTGTGGTGAGTTACAGCTGCATTTTAAACTGCATGTGAGTAATTAAACCATGAATGTAATATGCACGATGAAAAATTTAAACATTATTCAGAATTAGAGCTTTAATAAAATAAAGTTAAAAAAATGGAAGATCGTCATTAAATTATTTTTTGGGTTTCATTTTGTGTATCTTTTCTATGGGACATAGCTTGTGTGGAGAAAAACCTAAATGATTTGTCAACTCTGCCTTTGCTTGTCAGGGTCGGTGCCTAGGTGTTAGGATAGAATGGGGGGTGGGGTGGGGGGGTGGCTGAATGGTTAGCATGTGCGCTGTATGATGAGATCTGTCATTGAGTCAACTAGCAAGGTTTCGTTTCCCCTTTGTAGGGACAAGGAATATGGTCGCCTGTTCCGCCGCGTGGGTTTTCTCTGGGTCCTGTGGTTTCCCCACACTGCTAAAGACCCCTACGAGCAAGTGAATTATTGAAATAAAATTGAACCATTTGTTAGTCCCGAAATGACCAAGTTGTGTAGGGTCCATCTCTCTCTCTCTCTCTCTAATGTGCATCTCTCTCTCTCTCTCTCTCTCTAATGTGCATGCCAAGTGTATATAGGACCTCGGTTTATCATTTCATCCCAACAACTCAATGTTGTTCCTAGCCAGGCCCACACAAGTGACAAGGATAAACCATGTGGAAAAATCCCAAGGAACTGTCTCAGCCACTGCCGGGATCGATCCTTGGACCTCCATGTAAGCAAGCCTTGTATCGGTAATTAATTTGAATAATGCACACAAACTTCAAACTGATTAAGATTAGATGATAACTTTTGTTGTGAAAGCACACACAAGATTCAACAAAGTGGTAAAGGGAAATAAGTCTTGAAGTCACCAGAAATAGCATAAATTCAATAGGCTTCATTATCTTACATAGCAGTTATCAGATGATAAATGTACTCTGTAGAGTGTTCACAAGCAATGGCAATACATGTATATACAACTACATGCACAATACCATGTGGGCATATTAAAAAAAAAAAAAAAAAAAAAAAAACCAGATATTAAATTTAATTTCATTAAAAAAATAAATACATTTTGATAGCTTCAACAATGGAAAGAAGTTTAAAATCTTGGCAACACAATATATAACTACTGATACATGTACACTCTTTCATTTGGACATAATAAAAAAAACAATTTACAACAGAAATTAAATTTAATTTTATCAAAAAATAAATATAATTTTGATAACTTCAACAATGATTACAATGTAAAACAGTTTAAAATCTCTACGGGGGTGTGTGTGTGTGTGTGTGGAGTGGATGGCCCAATGGTTAGCATGTGCGCACTGTATCATGAGGCCTGTCATTGTGTCAACTGGCGTGGTTTTGAGTTCCCGGTTGTACGTGACTAGGAGTAGGATCACCTGTCCAACCTCGTGGGTTTTCTCCGGGTCCTCTGGTTTCCTCCCACTGCTAAAGACGCCTACGCGCAAGGGAATTATTGAAATAAAATTAAACCAAAATGACCTAGTTTGTGTCGTGTCCCATTTCTCTCTCTCTTTAAAATCTCTACGACACTATACTTTTGTCATTTTGAGACTGACAAACATTTTTTCCAATGCTAGGGAAAGCAGTGTTTCCACCTAATCTTCAGGAGGTTTCAACATGTTCGATCCCTGCATTGGCCGAGAAAGTCCATCGGGATTTTCCGACATGGTTTCCCCTTGTCTGTGTTGCAGGATGGAGGGACTGACTAGGACAACTGTCTAGTCGTTCTGATGGGACGGAAAACCGAGGTCACGCATATATGTTGGTGTGCACACGTAAATGATCCGTTGACAGTTGGGATTCGATATAAGGGTATAGGCCAAAGTGCCGCTGCTCGGGGCAAAATTTCCCTCATAGCACACTGTATCGCATATGCCCGTCTTCATTAGCCCAGTCGGAGCAGAACAGTAGGACGTTACACCCCATTGCATTTCATCAAATCCCAACTGTCACAGGTGGACACGGCTTGAAAAATCATTTGACACTTTGAACCTGGGACATTGGGTGAGGTCAGAACAAAAAGTAAGTGCTAGTGTTAGGGTTTGTGTCAGTAAAAGCGTTAACCTAATCCCCTTAATTTGAGTTCAGGTTCGCAAAAGGGTTACAATTTGGAAAATATAATAAATTTTAAAATTGAAAATTATGGTCAATTGTAACAACTAGTTTGTTGAATCTAACTTTAAAGGAGCTAAGTCGCTAATATTTGGGACCTAGAAATTGACACAAATGGGTCGGAACGCATACAGTAATGTAATATGAATGTATATAAATTGATTTACATTCAATCGTTTCTGTTTTTACTGTAATTTCTAATCAGTTAGGTTCGGCAACATACACCAGTATTCTCAATCGAATTTCAATCTCTAGCTTCTGGTTATTCCAGTCTACGCCGATAGTATTTATTGGGCATGCTCTCCAGATAAGAATATAGCGTCACCGTTTGACATGACTTGTGGAATATGTCTAGCCTCGTTTTTCGAACCCTTATTACACATAGTGCTGAAATGCATTATGGTACACGATTCGTGTACCAATTGTAAAATGTTTATTTTGTCTTAAATATTGGATATCAGAAGGCCATCTTTTCCCAGTAAGATCACAACATGAATGTTAATTTAAACCGACAAATAAATCGTTTTTTCAATGTCGAAGATTTTGGATGATATTGAGTTAGAGAATTAGCTACTTAATATTTTAAGTAGATAAATATGATTCATGTGAGACAAACAGTTAAAACGTTTTATTTTACTTAAACATACATTATGCAAGAGCTAAATCTGCATATTTCAGGTCTTTCTTTAGGCCTGAAATGTTATTTAAATTATTAATTAGACATTAATTAACTTATCCAGACCATAATCAACTCTCGATGACCATCGCTAGCCTGCGATATGTCTGGATTGGAATCTGTTTTGCTGCTCAACTTTCATTCATGATTTAATCATGAAATGGATAATCGAGACTATGTTTTTTATCGTAAAAACTTTTGTAATGATGATCGATGCTAGGCCGAATCGCTAAATTCTCGGTTCATAGTGGATCAATTTGCCTGAAATTTTCAACAAATTCCCTATACATTATCTAGTTTTTAGTAGTGAGAACTGTCAGCTCTTTATCTAATTTCCCATAATGTATCTTTAATTATTCACCTCAAATCTTAAAGCTTACTCACGGTTTTGGCCTCAACTGAAATCTTAACATTTTCTTAGCTTTTAATTACACAAGTGAAGTGAATCAAACACTAAGTGTTCCCCAAATCTCAGCTCATGGAAGTTTACCCATTTCTTAACATGGGCTGCAATAGGACAGTAGCTCTATCCCCTAGAGGTTAACACTTTATCAAGATCAAAGTAAGATATAAAGTGTTATTTAATTTTCATAAAATGTTGTTATATTTTCGCACAATATCATTATCCAACATTAAAAGTCCTTCAAAATCTGAGATTTCTTAGGATCCATTTTTTAGAAATAAATGTTTGAGTTTGTTTTGGGTGGCATTATGTGTTGTCTGAAGACTCTTCTTTTTAATTTTATCCAGATTGAAACCAAATAAACTTTAAATGAGGTCAAAAGTTAGGAAAAGTGTTACACTTGTGTTACATCATGTCATAACTATTTACTCCAACACTACATTTGACCTTACCCAATGAAGTCCTGGCCCTTAGACTTCAGCTGCCACATGATAACAAATGCATGCATGTACAATGTATGAATGGTAAGGATTTAATATAATCATACATGTTCGGGGGGGGGGGGTGTTGGATGGTGGAATGGGTTAACGTGGGCATATTAGACCATCATGTCTGCCATTGGGTCAAGTGGCATGGTTTTAATTCCCAGTTTGTACGTGACATGGGTTAGGGTCGCCTGTCTAACCTTGTGGGTTTTCTCCTGGTCTTCTCCCATAGCTTAAAAAAAATGAACCATGTGTTAGTCCCAAAATGACCTACTTTGTGTTGATCTCTATTGTCTATAGATGTATAAAGCATAGCAAAAACCTAATTATACATGACTGACAAAAATGGCCAAGCTGGAACCCATGTAGCAGAACTTGGGTACACTCAATTTGGAGAGTGAAATTGGGTTTAAAATTCACCCAAAACTAACAAGCACATTACAGAACTATTTTAATAATTTACTTAGACTCTGGGGTCTTTTGAAGTGGGAGGACACAAAAGTACCAAGCGACCATATACTTCACATTAAAACATGGGGTCGAACCCACAGATAACAGACCATTTACCTAGATCTAACCTTACACCAATAACATTTTTTAGGCTTAAGAAATGAAATGGGATTTAACGCCCTACTGTTCTGCTCCGACTGGGCTATTGAAGATGGGAGTGTAGGCCTATGCCTCATGATTTAGTTCAAAATAAAGTTTATATTTTATGACTAAATTTCTCTTTAAAAAATTTCAGTTTCATGTTTTGCTTAAACTGAGAAGAGTGAATGAAATGGGGTTTAACTCCTACTCTCTACTCCAACTGGGTTAACGAAGAGGGAGCCACAGTGGCTCAGTGAGTAAGACATTGGCTCGCTAAACAGGAGGTCCAGTGTTCGACCTCTGCGTTCGATGAGAAAGTTTATCAGGCTTTTCAGGCGTGTTTCCCTCTTGTCTGTGGTGCAGGACAGAGTGCCTGCTAAGGGACAAGGTATAGTCGTCCGGATTGGACAAAAAACATAAAAGATGATAGATCCCTTGGAATTAGATATAAGAGAAGGCTGTAGCGCCACTGTCCAGGCAAAATTTCTTTCACAGCACACTATATGGCATAAGCCCTGCTTCATTAGCCCGGTTAGAGCAGAACAGTAGGACGTTAAAACCCCATTTCATTTCAATTTGCTAATGAGGAAGTGAAACAGAAAATCATGTTTATACGTGTAGGCCTACATGTATCTCAACATTGGCTTTATCTGTGGACCTACAATTTTATATATATGAAAAGACAGGCAATGAAACATGCCCACTGCAGCTAATTCATCCATGCAGTCCGCAAGGGTTGTCACATATTTGTTCTTTGTCAATATTAAAGATGCATTATTCAAGAGCTAAATCTGCCTATTGCGGATATTTCCGATGTTCATATACATCCACACAAAGTTTGGTTGTATTATATTCATCGCCCTTGTCCGTTTGTCAAGAATTTCTCGCTAACAATATTTTCCATACTGGAGTTAATGCTCTTGTCATTCTAACACCACAGTTTCTTGTTAACACGAAAAAGACTAGAAATTTTGAGATTTTTTAAAATTTTGATGTGATTATTGAAAACCCTGAGAGTATTATCTCTATCGATTTTCAGCACTCTACTACATTTTTTTCCAGAGTTATTTCGCCTCAAGCAAGAGGCTAGAGTTTTTGAAGGATATTGTTCAAACTTGGCATGAAGTGCAGGCACACTAAGATGATCCCTATTAATTTTCAATAATCTCCTATTTTTTTTTAGTTGCTGCTCTTGTCGGCATTCTGCAACATTTCGTACCAAGATATTCGCCTTTGTCCACGACTCGGAGTATGCCCTGGGATATTAAAGCCTACAACAGGAGTCCGGTTTTATAATTCATTTATGCCACTTACATTTTGTTTGCATCGTTACAAATAGCGCTTGAAATGAAATGAAATGGGGTTTAACGTCCTACTGTTCTGCTTTCACTGGACTAGTGAAGACGGTCATACGCCATGCAGTGTGCTATAAGGGAAAATGTGCCCAGACAGCAGCGCTAAGGCCTACTCTTATATCGAATTCTAACTACCAAGGGCTCTTTTATGTGCACGCCAATGTGTACACAGAACCTTGTTTTTTTTTTTTGTCCCATTTGAATAACTAGACAGCTGTCCTTATCAGGCCTTTGTCATGCACCATTGACAAGGGAAAACCACAAGATGAACAAAATGTATATTTCATCGCCTGCAGATTTTAAAATTGTTCATTTTTGTGTCTTAAATATTGGATACCAGCTGGAGCCCATATTTTCACAGTAAGATAATAACATAACTAATGATTGAAATGAAAATAATTTGTATTTGTAATGTTGAAGACTGGATAATATTGAGTTAAAAGCTTTACGTTCTTTAAGCATTCAAAGTGCATGCAATCATTTTTAAGTCTGTCATATAGAAATGGGTTGGGTGGGGGCGCACCACTTGTTACCATCAACAGGTTCACCTAGCTAAGAGTTTTCCGTTGTAGAGGGACTGGAAATATCTTCCACTGGCTCCTCTTTCATTGGGGTCTTCTCAAGCATTTGTTTATTGTTGTGTATTTTAGAATGTCTGTTAAGAGTTTTCCTGTCACAAAATGATTTACTACAAACATCACATTTAAAGAGACTGTGTTTAGTCTTGGTGTGATGCATATCGCGATGACACTGTAAGGAACTTTTCTTGGTGTATGTCTTCTCGCAGTCCACACATTTATAAGGTCTATCGCCAGTATGAACCTTAAGGTGTTCCTTTAAGCTGTTACTACATGTAAATGATTTACTACAATCATCACATTTATAGGGTTTTTCCTCCAAATGAATTTTGATATGGCTGTTTAAGTAAGCATTTAGTGCAAATGATTTGTCACAAACATCACATTTATAAGGTTTTTCTCCGGTGTGGATTCTTCTGTGAGTGGTGAGATCGATCCGTCGTATGTAAGTCGCATCACAAGCATCGCATTTAAAGGGACGGTCTTCTGTATGTCGTTTCATGTGAAGTTTTAACACGTCCTTACGGTTGAATGTTTTGTTGCAGATGTGACATTCAAAGGGCCGTTCCTCCATGTGGCTTAATTCATGTTTGTGCAAATACGATTCATACGTAAATTTTTTATCGCAGATTTCGCATTTATAGGCATCTGGTGCATCGTGAATTTTCAAATGTCTCTGTCGTGCGGGTCGACTATAGAAGGATTTATCACATTGGTTGCATTTATAACATGGATGACCTGCATGACTTGCTTTGTGGATCTTCAGTTCGGATCTGTTTGTAAACTGCATACTACAGACCTCGCAGTGGTGGTACTTGACCTCCCTATAATGAGACTCGAGGTGACGTCGCATGCTGAAATCCGTTGTAAAAGATTTTGGGCACAAGTGGCACTGATGGGGTTTCTCTCCTCCATGGGTTAAAATATGCGACTTGCGAGTGGATTTTGTGCTGAAGGCTTTATTACATAATTCACATTCGTATGGTTTTTCTCCCGTGTGAGATCTGATGTGCACTGCCAGCAGACTGCTCGTACGAAATGAACGTCCACAAAATTCACATGTATTTCGTTTCTCCCCTTTGTGAATTCGTCGGTGTGATATTAAGGCAATTTTCTCGACAAATTTCATTGAACAGAATTCGCATTCATGGGCCTTTTCACCCGTGTGCAGCATCAAATGTTTCTTCAGACTAGAACTTTTTTGGAATGTCATGGAGCAATGATCACAAGCAAATGGACGTTCTCCAGAATGAACCGGAACGTGATCCTCCAATTGGTTAGCCGTGTTAAATGATCTTGCACAAACAGCACATTTAAATGGTTTCTCACTGTCATCATCTAATACGGGTAATTTCAGTTCACCATCATCCGTCTTATAACTTTGGAGTTTTTCTGCAACGTGAACCTTGACATGGGCATTAAGGCAATTTCTGATATTAAATGACAGAGGACACATGTTACACTGAAATGGAGTGTCGCTTTTCACGCCACTTAAATGATTATTCAGACTGTGCTTTTTCTTAAACAAACTGCCACAATTTTCACATGCGTAACGAAGCATTGGTTTATGCACTGTGTCCATATGCGGTTTCAGACCACATTGAGCATTGAAAGTTTCATCGCAAAGGTCACATGTGTATTTTTCGCCACTGCTCTTTACAAGATGTCGTTGAAAGGTGATTGGAGTTTTGTAAATCCAGCCACAATCTTGACAAATGTATAAAGGTTCATTGATTTGAGTCAACTCTTCATTGTGGGCATTTGTATTTTGAGAAATTTCATTTATTTCCTCCTGTTCTTCAAGCTGGCTGATTTCTTCAAGAACTTCACTGGTGTCATCTACAGACATCTTGAGCACTGAAATTGAAAGAAAACTTGACACTGAGATATAATTTAAGAATGGAATGGGGTGTATTGTCCTATCAACACAATTCCTCGATCATGTCTAACATATATGGTAATTTTTATTCTATGGTTAGCTAATTCATTTCTTCGTCTCATCAGAATGGCCTGGCTCATCAGCCCTGCAGGCATTGTCCCAGGCATCTGAAAACCCATCCTTGATATCCGCAATCGTATATAGTTCCGTTATATGCTAAATTGTCATTTATAATATACATTGGTAATGTTTTTGTGTTAAAATGCCTCTTAAAATCTGATTCAAGCAAGTATATGGAAGTTAAACATACATTGTGCAAGAGCTAAATCTGCCTAAATTCCATTAATTAACTTATCCAGGCCATAATCAACTCTCGATGGCATTAGATTTCTCTGATAATAAATAGATTAGAAGAGTTTAGCCATATTTTGATTTAAGCTAAAAATGGAGGAGCGAGACTTAGCTTCGAACAACCAGTGCGGTGGTTGAAATTATTGCACACATCTTGTCAAACCTTCAAAGGCTAATAACTTCGCTTTCAATAGAGTAATTTGAATGAAATTTCCAAATTATTCATTTTACATTATCTATTTTCGAACTATTATAGCAAGAATGGCTAGCTCTTTATCTAAATCTTACATAATGTATCTTTAAGAAACCAAATCCATCATTATTTTAACTCATATCACATATAATTAAAGGAGCTACAAATGTACATGTAAATCTTTTTTTTTTTGGCAACTAGAAATGGAAACAAATGGGTCGCCATGCATATAATAATGTAATATGTATGTATGTAAACTGATTTAATTTATTCAATCGTTCTGTTTTTAGTTTAATTTCTAATCAGCAATGTTTGTCGAAATACCCGGAGAGTCATTTGAATGACATCTGGTTATTCCAGTCTGCACCAGTAGTATTCTCCTGTGGGATATACTTAGCCTCGTTCATCAAGTCCCTTCATTACAAATGGCGCTCAAAAGCATTCTAGCATGCGATTTGTGTGTAGTGTCCCAATTTAAAAATTTTCATTTTGTCTAAAATATTGGAGCAGCCCATCTTTTCACGGTGATTAAATTGAGCATTGAATAAGTCTAGATAACAAACCTCTTCTCTCAACCCATCCGTATATCTCAACATTTTTAGCTACGGTACATTCTTGTACGATGATGAAATGAAATGAAATATTCCTATACTGGGTTAATGAAGACGGGCATACGCCATACAGTGTGCTATGAGGGAAATTTTGCCCGGGCAGCGGCACTATCGCCTACTCTTATATCGAATTCCAACTGCCAAGGGATCTTTTACGTGCATTTCATTCCAATGTATACACGGGACCTCGGTTTTTCGTCTCATCCGAAGGACTAGACAGCTGTCCTTGTCAGGCCCTCCGTTCTGCACCACTGACAAGGGGAACCCACGTCGGAAAATCCAGATGAACTTTCTCGGCCAATGCAGGGATCGAACACCCGATCTCCAGGCTAGAGAGCCAGCGTCTTAACCACCTAGCCACCGTGGCTCCCTTACGATGATGAATAATTGAATAAGTCGTGCTAGCAATGTCAAAGACTGTGGATATGATTGAGTAAGCGACTTGCCTCCTTTAATATGGATATTTCATAATATACCGTTCTCTATGCTAAATTGTCATTTTTAATTATAAATAAAAATATTTTTGTGTCAAAATTCTCCCTCAAAATGTAATTTCCGAGTAAGATTGGAGGGTGTAGTAATCATGGGACATAACTCGTGTATTGCACAAAATCATCTACGTGGAAATTGCATTTTGAAGGACATTTTTGAAAGAAAAACGTTACAATTTTAAATTAAAAATGCCAATTTGCCGTAAAGAAAAGTATTATGTAGATAAAAATTATTATTATATGAGTTGAAATAATGGTGGATTTTGGTAGATTTGGGGGAATTTGGGTAAATCGTGCTACCGTTTGACGGACGGTATTCAACAATATGGCTGTTCACTGAACTGGAGAGGTCACACAACTAACCCAATTATCTCCAATTTATTCAATTCCACATCAAAGTCATGCCAAAATTAACCCTGTCAGACTATACACGCAAACTTTTCCGTATTAAAAAAACCCCAAACAAATTGTTTGATGATAAAACAAGATCAATTCAATATGCAATGATGTCAGTACTACTGATGAAAATGGGAAACACACAAGCTAGTGCAGCCACAAGCGTCAAACCGCCATATTCATAGGTGTCGCCTTGGTCGGATTCGGCGATGCTGGTTTTACTGGAGAAAGTTACAGCTTAAAAACGCCGAATTGACCGGTTTAGTTGCCAGTATATCTGGCTTAAATATTATCTTTCATAATCATGAACAAACTTACCAAATTAAAGAAGAAATCTTTCAATAAAATTACACTTGCCGCAGTTATCTTTCCGAGTCCCATATAGGGATATTTCGTGGCACGCTGTTTCGTCCAATATAACAGTTAAAGAGATGTTTCGTTCCATTTCCTTTGTAGATCAAATTTATTGATACTATTTGGTAAATTACTTTGAAGAAAATAGGTTAAGCCTATTGTTTTGTCCCGTGTACACATTGGAGTGCACGTAAAAGAACCCCTGGTAGTTAGAATTCGACACAAGAGTAGGCCGTAGCGTCGATATCTGGGCAAAATTTCCCTCTTGCAAGAGCGGGTAGACTAGAGTAGTTCCTACTAGAGACTCTCGACCTTCAGTCGAAGAAAGTAACTGATCAGGATACAAAACAATTGCAGACGACAGTCCTACAACGACACGTATAATCTGTTCAGTATTTTGAACTCTTAACCTTCAAACACGATAACTATCATAGGCGTACGGGCCAATTTTTCTGGGGGGCGTTGGGGTTGCCTTGGGGGCTGGGGTATCATTTTTGCCCGAAAAATACGGCGGCAACGCCCGATAAATTTAATGAACCTACATAACTTTACAACAAAATAGCTGTGGCAAAAATCTCGAAAAATAATGCCAGGTATCGCCTATCGGGGCAAATTTTCTCAAACTGCTGTTTGAGTTTGAGAACTAGATAGGTATTAATTTTTAAGAGGCATTTAGTAACTGTATAGAGCAATAAACTATAACACATACTTATACTCTTCCAAACATCGCCCAAATAAATAAGTAGCTGTTTTTCTATAAGTATGTGTTATAGTGTATGATAGGTATGTTGCAGCACACTTGGCCATTAAAAGAGCATAATAAAGGAATACACACAAGGTAAATACATTATATGAAGGTAAATGGTATGTACTTGAGGGTCTGTCATTGGGTCAAGTAGCATTATTTTAATCCCACTCTTATATGTGATAGGACGTAGCGTGGCCTGCCTAACATCGTGGGTTTTGTTCGGATCCTCCGGCTTTTTTTCACTTCTAAAGACATTTTCGTACAAGTGATTTTTTGAACCGACGCTTATGTTAACTGCTGATATTTTGGCCGTATATATGGTTGTCGCCAATCTCTGACTATTCAGTGTGTTGGGTGGCTGAAATACAGATGTACCATATCTTAGTCCCAAAATGAAATAGGTTGTGTTGAGTGGACGTTAAATTCCACATACATACACCTCATAAGTAATTGAGATACATTCCCTAAAAGTAACCCATAAGTCTCTTTGCAGAATTTACAGCGGGTAGCAAATAGTCAAGTTTCATTTTTTTTTTAGGTGAAACATTTACGTACGGTTAGTTAAACATCTTTTATTTCGCGAGAATAATTCTTCAGAGGAGAAATGGGGTTTAACGTCCACTCGACACAATCTAGGTCATTTCGGGACTAACATATGGTTTAATTTTATTTCATTAAGGGGTCTTTAGCAGTGGGAGGACCCGGAGAAAACCCACGAGGTTGGACAGGCGACCCTACTCCTTGTCACGTACAACCGGAGATTCGAAACCAAGCCAGTTGACTCAATGACAGGCCGTATGATACAGCACGCACGTGCTAACCATTCGCCCACCCAACCCCCCAACATATGTGACAAAACTGGTTAAACAAATTCCAGATATAATTTTAACGCAGAGATCATTGTTCGTTTTCTCTTCATCTAATGACAGTCAATTCTTTTTCAGATTTGTCAGATATCCTCCCACAGTCTCATATATTATGAACTTTTCATCCTCAACGGATTTTCAGAGTACGGTGGGTATGGGGGCTCTCCCCCTGGAAAATTTTGAAAAATGAACCGCAAATATGTGATCTGGTGGCATATCTGATTATAATCTCTGTCAAATAATATATCTCATAAATCGATTAATTTAGGCCAAAACCCCGACCTGCAAGTAATTTACAACCATCAACCTGTGAAATTGTCATATCGGGCGACCGTGTCGGGTGAATAGGATGAAATTTTCGGATGAAATTCAGAATCCCCATTGCAGGATTCCGAATTCCGGCCCACACCCAGCACACCCGGCCCAGAAAGTCTATTATACCAGCCCATTCCAGACTCCAGTAATGGCGTAGCGGCCCGTTAAAGTTTTAAAGCCAACGGCCACATACAACATGATCATCATCGCTCCATGGCCGTTCCAATACCCCCCCCCCCCCCCCTATAATGTTCAGCAGAAAAAGTTTTTTTAGACGAATTGGACAAAATTATTTTTTTCATTTTTTGTCCGACCGGCCCTTCGGGCGATCACCCAATGCCCCACTCCGCCCCCGTAAAGAACTTTATGTAAGTGGACTAGCCCTTACATGGTTCCAGTCATACCCTGAAAACCGTACACAGACAGTTGTTATCAAAGGTTCCCCATCAAACTGAACGGTTTTAAAGTATGGTGTGCCACAGGGTGGGCTTCTGATATCCAATATTTAAGACAAATAAAAATCTTAAGATTGGCACACGAATCGCGTGCCAGAATTCTAGGCTAATCATACCCCCACAGTATAATTCTACCGGTGTAAACATGGACTTTTCATGTTTTTCGCCGAACATAACTGAAATGAAATGGGGTTTAACGTCCTACTGTTCTGCTCCTAAACTGGACTAATGAAGACGGGCATACGCCATACAGTGTGCTATGAGGGAAATTTTACCCGGGCAGCGGCGCTACGACCTACTCTTATATCGAATTCCAACTGCCAAGGGATCTTTACGTGCACGCCAATATGTACACGCCAATATGCATCACTAACAAGGGGAAACCACGCCGGAAAATCTGGATGAACATTTTCGGCCAATGCAGGGATCGAACACCCTACCTCCAGGCTTGCAAGCCAGCGTCTTACCCACTTAGCCACGTCATCCCCCGAACATAACTGATTAGAAATTACAGTAAATACAGAAACGATTGAATGTAAATCAGTTTACATACATTCATATTACATTATTATATGCGTTGCGACCCATTCGTGTCCATTTCTTGGTGCCAAAGAATAGAGATTTAGCTCCTGTAATGTTTTCTGTCTAAATTCTGGTCGTATAATACCTTTGCTAATCTCTGACTATTCAGTGATTTTTGTATCCGAAATAAAGACGTACCGTATGCTTGTCTTGAAATATACTAGTTTTTAATGAGTGGATGTTAAACCTATCTCATTTTATTTCAGGGGTTGGTGGAGTAGTGATACAAACACCCGCACAAGAATATTTATACCAGGTGTATTGGCTGGTTTCTGAAAATTTTAAATTCAGGGCCAATTACACAGATACTGCATTGCTGTATTTAAGTAATGCCATGGGAGATACTGGCTACGAGATTGTTTAGGCGCTAATAATAAGTATTCTTGTATACGTCCGTGTATAGGCTGTAGATGTTTAGTTGTTAAATTCATTAACCCACTTACTCTTGGGATCCGAAAATGTTTTTGGATTTTGTGGAATTTGATCTCCATATCAGTTGGAGGCGCTTTACATATTGGAGAAAATGTATTTTTTACGTATCAGAATCAACGTCTATTGCTTCTGACCAAGCACATCTTTATCAGTTCCTGGTCTAACACTACTTGGGAAATGCGTAAGTATATCAATTTTAAAAACGAGATACCAGTGTTATATGGTAATAACCTAAGGAATGGGGGTTTAAGTATTCTGGACATTGCTATTTTTAGCCTGACATTATAGCAATGCTAGGGACATAATTTATTTTACCCACTCCCCTTTGAATTCCAATTATCAAAGATGTGTACCACTCGACTTTATTTTGTCGTACAAGAGCGACTAGCACACCATTTCGTTCACTCTGAATGCCATGTCATCCATCCTGAGTCACTGACGACGGGAGAGAGAGAGAGAAATGGGGTTTAACGTCCACTCGACCCAACTAGGTCATTTCGGGACTAACATATGGTTAATTTGAATTCATTAATTCGCTTGCGCGTAGGGGTCTTTAGCAGTGGGAGGAAACCGGGGGACCCGGAGAAAACCCACGAGGTTGGACAGGCGACCCTCCTCCTTGTCACGTACAACCGGGGATTCGAAACCACGCCAGTTAACTCAATGACAGGCTGTATGATACAGCACGCACGTGCTAACCATTCGGCCATCCCCCCCCCCCCCCCCGTAGTTAAATTTAATAATTATCTCCTGGTGGAGGAATTCTTAAATTCTCGCTTAACCCCCTGTTATCATATGAGAATGATGAACGATAGGGCAAATACTAACTGCAATATTACCTTTGTATACTCTGCCTATAAAATTAAGACACCAATTTGGAAATTATTTAACAGATAAATCCAGTGTTTTAAAGTAGATCGGAGGCAAATATAAAAGTATATTATATTAGTTACTGTAAATGGTAAAAGAAGTTAGTACATGCAAGCATCAACTGTGTCAAAAAGTGACAATTATGTCTGAACTAGTTACGTCTGTTGATACGCCTTTGTAAACATACCGATTTATGATTTTGAATATATTGACCTTGTTTTTACTGGTTTAATACGGATATCGATATATGCATTAGTGCTTTTATACGGTTAATAGTTATGTCATTATATAGCGCATAAAACCAAAATGAAATGAAATTGGGTTTAACGTCCTACTGTTCTGCTCCGAACTGGGCTAATGAAGACGGTAAAACCAAAATAGACTTGACTTCGAGGTGTTGAAGAAGGCCTTTCGTATCATCAGTTTAACAATAAATATGTCACTTTTGGATATGATTTCAGCTGATTACTTAACATTTGTTACCAAGACAAATCTATAGAATACAATAAT